ATTAACAAATGCATTCACAAATCTATTGTGTGAATAACTTTAAAAAAAAAAAGTATCCTTTCAAATTTACGGTCAATATGCAAGGTTCCCTCTAAGGGGGAAAAGCTAATGTGCAAAATGTATTTTCTATGCGCGCTGTTCTAAAAGTCTTATACAATGATATATTTATTTTACAAAATCACTGCGCGGCAGCTCAAAACGGCTGCGCGGCCGCGCAACCGCGCAGCTTAGCGGGAACACTGTCAATATGACAGGTGAAATAGAGTTTACCCGTTTCATTGACCTCGGCGAATGTAGGTATAATGTGGTCAGCATTATGTCCAGTCGCTTGTACACTCACTAACGTGGGTTAGGTACCCATCAATGCTGGATTGGTTCAGTGACTCCAGCCCGAGTGTGTGAAAAGCGTTCATATTTGAACATGGCTTTTTGTGGATGGTGATAAAAATTTGGTATTTTGGTACAACCTTTTGATATTAGTGTGAATAAATTATTTGTATACATAAGCAATCTAAATATGAAAATGTTGTGAAATAAAAGTTGTAATTTGCTCGAACCGGATAATTGGGGGGGGGGGGGACACCAGCGAATTGCACCAACCAATTATCCCAGCATGCCCCAGCAGTCATTAGGGAATTGGTGGCTGTATCGGGTGTTAACCAGGATTGGCGCAGTCAGCATTGTGTGGCTGATTCAGGTTCCCGCTTGCGTCATGGGGGTGGTCAAGCTTGCTGCTACACGTCAGTAAATGACCATTACAGCTTTAACAAAACACCCACTATATCTTGCGTGATGAGGGTGGTCAAGCTTGCTGCTACAAGTCTACAAGCCAGTGAATGACCATTACAACTTTAACAAAACACCCACTATATCTTGTGTCATGGGGTTGGTCAAGCTTGCTGCTACCAGTCGGTGAATGACCATTACAGCTTTAACAAAACACCTACTATATCTTGTGTCATGGGGTTGGTCAAGCTTGCTGCTACCAGTCAGTAAATGACCATTACAGCTTTATCAAAACACCCACTATATCTTGTCTCATTATGGTGGTCAAGCTTGCTCCCACAAGTCAGTGGATGACCATTACAGCTTTAACAAAACACCCACTATATCTTGTGTCATTATGGTGGTCAAGCTTGCTCCTACCAGTCAGTAAATGACCATAACAACTTTAACAAAACACCTACTATATCTTCGACTTGGATTGTAATACATCTGTTACTCTTGCAAGGATAGGCGACCATCCTCAAACCTTGGTGGTTTAATACTCATGTCTCCCCCTCACAGCACATCTTACCTACTCTCCCAGCCTACGTGTTCATAAGGGGCGCTCCCCTCTCCTATACACCGGCATACAGAAAATGTAGCACCCTTGCTCCCCACCGTGCTATACAAAGTGCGCTTTTCCTTCCCATCGATAATTTTTTTTTCCCGATATGAAACAGCATTGAGCAAGGGACCACACACTGACTAGCAAACATTTTGGCCTTTATATGGGGACCCTCACCACAATCCTCCCCCACCCCCCACCCCCATATAAAGGATTCTAAGTGTTTGCACGGTAGCGCTGATAAAATACACTACCATTGCGCAGACCAACTGCTCGTGTTTACCGTTAGGGGAAGGGGGGGGGGGGGGAAACACGTGAAATGGATTCGTTACCATTCTGAAAAAATAGCAAACACAACCTTTTTGTATGGCGGGGGAGGGGGAGGAGCGCTGGTCAATATGGGGTGTGAAAGCGTTAGGGAAAGGTGGCGCAGGGATAGTGTTGTATTAACGTTCTGGAAAGGTTTTCACCGGCGGAACGTAACGGGGATGCTGGGGGGATTGGTGTAAATATATCGTCCAGGTCTTTACCAGCGGTAAACTGGAGAGATCGCGTGTGGACGAGGCGATGTGATGTCGCGGGTTCGAGGGCGGCCGACTCTACCTCGGCAATGACCTGATCACGCCAAGACGTTGATCGCTGTCTGGCTATTCTCTGTAAAACAGATGTTTAATTTGAACTCTTTAAAATTTTATTTATCTAATATCCTATATCACATCGATTGGCCTTTTATGTTTGACTTTTATTTCTATCTTAGTTCTTTTTTATGTAAACGATTGGTGAATTCAATCGTGTTTCTGTGGAATTAGTTTATAATATAAATAAGCTACTAATACTAAGTTGAAATTTCCTACGAATAATAATCTTCTTCCCCTCAGAATTTATAAGATGAATGGGTTTTGTTCATTTGTACGATACTACAATCCGAAGTTTATTAAATTTAGACTATAGTCTTTTAACTTGGGCCTTTATTTAAAACAGACACTCTTTGTCTTTTTACCCTGGGATATATTTGTCTTTTTGCGTGGGGCGTTTTTGTGTTTTTATTTCACTGAACATTTTGTCTTTCTTTTTTTTCCCAATGGACATTATTTTTCTTCTTACGTGGGACATTTTTGTCATTCTACACTTGACATTTTTGTCTTTCTGTACTGGACATTTTTGTATTCTTACACCCGTGCCTAAAGCACCTATACAAATCCCCCACTTCCAACCTCCCCACCACTGAACACACATTCTACTCGATTATGTACACAGCTCCAGTTCTTAATGAAAAGCAATTTGATTAGTTAGCGTGTATGATTAATATCGATGCACCATCGGCCGCGGTGTATCCATACCTGCCATGTTCACGTAGGCCGAGCTTGTAAACATAGGCCACGCCGTTAAACCCATGGCTCCTATGTAAACATAGGCCCTACAGTTAAACCCAGGCCACGAGTAAACACAGGGCCTACAGTTAAACCCATGCCTAACATGTTAACATAGACCTTACAGTTAAACCCATGCCTCACGTGTAAACATAGGTCATGCAGTTAAACCCATACCTCCTATGTAAACATAGGCTGTACAGTTAAACCTGGGTATAACGTGTAAACATAGGCCCTACAGTTAAACACAGACCACATGTAAACATATGCCGTAAAGTTAAACTCATGCCTCACATGTAAACATAGGCCCTAGGGTTAAACCTAGACCTCCCCCATCTTAAATACAGGTGATGTAGGCCCTAGGGTTAAACCTAGACCTCCCCATCTTAAATACAGGTGATGTAGGCCCTAGGGTTAAACCTAGACCTCCATATCTTAAATAAAGGTGCCGTAGGCCCTAGGGTTAAACCTAGACCTCCATCTTAAATACAGGTTATGTAGGCCCTAGGGTTAAACCTAGACCTCCCCATCTTAAATACAGGTTATGTAGGCCCTAGGGTTAAACCTAGACCTCCACATCTTAAATACAGGTGCTGTAGGCCCTAGAGTTAAACCTAGACCTCCATATCTTAAATAAAGGTGCCGTGGGCCCTAGGGTTAAACCTAGACCTCCATCTTAAATACAGGTTATGTAGGCCCTAGGGTTAAACCTAGACCTCCCCATCTTAAATACAGGTGCCGTAGGCCCTAGGGTTAAACCTAGACCTCCACATCTTAAATACAGGTGCCGTAGGCCCTAGGGTTAAACCTAGACCTCCATATCTTAAATAAAGGTGCCGTAGGCCCTAGGGTTAAACCTAGACCTCCATCTTAAATACAGGTTATGTAGGCCCTAGGGTTAAACCTAGACCTCCCCATCTTAAATACAGGTGATGTAGGCCCTAGGGTTAAACCTAGACCTTTCCATCTTAACTACAGGTGATGTAGGCCCTAGGGTTAAACCTAGACCTCCCCATCTTAAATACAGGTGATGTAGGCCCTAGGGTTAAACCTAGACCTTTCCATCTTAACTACAGGTGATGTAGGCCCTAGGGTTAAACCTAGACCTTTCCATCTTAAATACAGGTGCTGTAGGCCCTAGGGTTAAACCTAGACCTTTCCATCTTAACTACAGGTGCTGTAGGCCCTAGGGTTAAACCTAGACCTCCCCATCTTAAATACAGGTGATGTAGGCCCTAGGGTTAAACCTAGACCTCCCCATCTTAAATACAGGTGCTGTAGGCCCTAGGGTTAAACCTAGACCTCCCCATCTTAAATACAGGTGATGTAGGCCCTAGGGTTAAACCTAGACCCCCATCTTAACTACAGGTGATGTAGGACCTAGGGTTAAACCTAGACCTCCCCATCTTAACTACAGGTGCTGTAGGCCCTAGGGTTAAACCTAGACCTCCCCATCTTAACTACAGGTGCTATGACCGTGGGGCTTCTATACGCGAACATTATCTCCATGTCTCATTGATCCCCTCAGATTGTGAGGAAAATTTTGTTTGCGCTTCAACTTTTTTCTACACTAGGGACGTAATGAGAGCTGAGACGAGCGTGTCACGTGACCGCGCTGGGAGAAGTAAAGGGGGGGGGGAGTAGATCCCAGCAAGGAAAGGAGTTGTCTGCTAATCGTTAGACCGTAGCCAGTGTATGTGTTGGTGTGCAGCCATGTGAATCATTGATCCGCGCGAGTACAGAACCGTGACGGGGGTAGGAGATAATGAGCCGCCCGTGTTGGTGTGTGAGGGGACGGGGTGGGGGAGGGGTGGGGATAGTAGTGGCGGCGTCTGGCCTGATGGCGGCCGTGTGCGCATTTGGGTGGATAATGCGCGGGCGCATTAGATGGATAGTGCGGTCGCCATTTGGTGGATAGATATGTGGCTCATTGGATGGATAACGTATCACACTGACAGTATTGTGTGGGTGTTGGATACATCCAGTGGCGTATATGGTGAATGATGGTCGTGATCACACAGAGAATTCACATACCTTTGTGCTGTCCTTTTATTTTCTTTCAAAAAAAAAACCTTATTTAGAGTAATCACTTAAATAGCATCTTATTGTAATTTGAACTAATTAACTTAATAAAAATAAATTGTGCTTGTTTCTAAAGTACGCCAAAACCTAATACCCCTCCCCCTCACCCGACGTACTTTTCATTGTTAGTAAAAATATTTCTGTTGTTAGTCTACCTGCTGAATGTAGATGCGTCTTTGCCATTTCTTGTTTAACGTATGTATCGTTTCTATTTTTAGACATGAAGTGACGCTGACAAGATGGCGGTGAGAATGAACCAAGAGCCAGGCGGCTTCAAGCTCCTGGAGGAGGACGCGTTGGACGACCGGCCATGTGCAGCGGTCAAGAAATTCGTCTCCTCTGTGCTTGACCGCAAGGACATGAAGGACCAGGAAGTGGCCAACAGTTTTCGGAACGTAAGTGCTCACCACACCATCTTGCTGCTCTGTAGAGCTTTTAAAGCTGACAGCGTAGTCTAGGGACCAAAGGCGTATCTGCAGAATTAGGCGCCCCTTGAATAAGACTCTTGTGTAAAAAAAAAGTCTGTACTCCAATTAGGGTTTCTTTCAGAGATTTTAATTCGGACGGGGGTCACTTGAAACTTCCGGGAATGCCCAACTCCCCCCCCCCATGAAAAGCCTGAAAGAAACAGGGACTGGAATGCTCCTATTTTCTCCACCATTTAGGTAGCCTACATGGTATGTACCACCGCCCCCCCTCCTCCTCCACACACCCACACCCCTGTTACTTCTACTAGGATTTATTTTCACCTGTAGATCCAGCGGCTTACATTGAGGCTCAAGCCCTAAAGAAAGCAGGGCTTGCTTTCCAAAAAAAAAAAATCACTTTCAGTGTAAACGCCGGTACAATAGTACAATGACCCTGCCGGCTCAGCTGTGTCAAAAGTTAGGGCTAACCATTGGGTCAGGGATAAGTTCAGGATAAGGGCAAGGTATTGGTTAGTGTTAACATTGAAAGCCTCTGCTGCTTACATTTTAGACTTACCTAAAAACAGATCCCTAGCTTGTTTTTTTTTTAAATTTCATTTTGTTAAAGCTATTTAAATACCTAAATAATAAACATGAAATATGGAGTGTGATTTCGATGGCGATTTGCTTAACGGTTTTGAAAATATATTCTGAATTCGCCTTACCCCCCACCCCCTCCTTTCCTTCCCAGAAACTTCCGTTATTATTATTAGAACAATGCAACCTTTCTGAAGTGTGGAGACCTTTAAAGCGTTCAACAGCGCGGGGCTTGCACGGTGCGCACCGTTTCCCACAGCCGTTGGTTATTCTCGGCCCGTGAGTGGTGCTGAGTACATGCGCGGCCCCAGAAACACCGGAAATGCACTAGGAGACTAACAAATAATGACGGCCTCTTTCTCCTCCCCCCTCCCTTTCCATTTTTTTTTACCGTCTATCTTTAACTCTTACAGGTATTAGTAAATATAGCACATGGTTCTTCCCATCTCCCCCCCCCCCCCCGTGCCAGCCAGCTTCACGTGGCTTACGTTAAGGACTTGAAAAATTTAAAATAATATTGTATCTCTGGGCAGCATTGGGAGAGGGGGCGGGGGAGAAGGTGTGTTTCTAGATTGGGAGGTGAGGGGGGGGGTGCCACAATCCACAGCAGCGTGTTGCCGAGATCGTCTGGTGTAGGTTATCTGCGGTTTCCGCTCCAAGTCACGTGGGCCAGTGCTGATAGTCATACGGGATCTGACAATGAGTCAGAGCACATTGAAATGTTAGGGGATATATATATATATATATATATATATATATATATATATATATATATATATATATATATATCTAATATATAAAGCTCAGTTCTGTAACGTGTGGCAAAAAACAAAAAAGTTTGTCGTTGACACTTCTACGGATTTAAGTGTTAGATTTTTTATCGTGCTCAAAGTCTAAATTTACGAGTCAAAAAATTACCATTGAAAGTCTTTAAAAACAATTTTCACTCTATTTACTTAGAAGAATAATTTTCAATTATGAACACGACATAAAATTTTTAAAACGTGTATCGACGTTTATAAAATTTCTAAAATTGTGTCGGAAATGTATTGACTGCAAAGTTACTTCCCTTTAATGAAAAATAAATCCTTAAGAAGAGAGAATTAACATTTTATTACTTTGTTTTTGGTGTTAAGAAAAAAAAAATAATTACACAATTAGCGGGGATTGATTAAGTGCAATGTTGTTAGGTATTTTTAACACTGCCTTTTATTTATTCTATACACTGAACATACTGTTCAATAATTATTATTTTTTTTTTAAATCAATAACATTTAATAAGCCAGGTCCTACAAATCATATACGTTTATTTCTTTCCATTTACGGACAAGCTTGGAGTATTATCATTTTTGTTCACTAAATTGAAACAGGCGCGTCCGCCGGCGCCCCTGCACGGTTTGATTTGGCACCCTGGGCTATCATGTGAGCGCTATGCTGCATAATTTTGTTTTAAACAGTGCGATAGACTATGGATAAGAAAGGTTACTATAGTCTTTAAGTGAATCAAATCCGGGCGTCCTCCGGCACCCCGACAGGGTGCTATTTGGCGCCCCGGGCCTTCCGGTGTACGCTATGGTATCTACGTTCGCGTGAGTTCAAAAGACTATGAATAAGTTATGTACTATAGTCGTTTACTAAGTTCAATCAGGCGGTGACGTCATGGTGCGTCCTCTGGCGCCCAGACAGGGTGCTTTTTGGGGTCCCGGGCCTCCCGTGTTCGGTTTCGCGCCTACGTTCATTAAAGTGAGTGCAAAAGACTATGAATAAGTTGGGGTACTATAGTCGTTTATTAAGTTGAAGTAGGCGATTCAGCCCCGTGAGCACTTTGCGTTTATATTCGCGTTAGTGTTTTCTTTGTGTTTAGGTTGGGTTTGCGTTAGTGGTTGCGTTTTGATTTGGTTCGTTTTTGTTCTTTCTTTTTTCGTTTTCGTTTGTGTTTTATTTTCATTGGGTTTGTGTTTGTATTTGTGTTTGAGGTTGGTTTTGCGTTTGGATTTGGTTTGTTTTCGTTTGTTTTTTCTTTTGTGTTTTTTTTTCTTTGGGTTTGTGGTTGGTTTTGCGTTTGTATTTGGTTTGTTTTCGTTTGCTTTGTCGGAAATGTATTGACTGCACAGTTACTTCCCTTTAATAAAAAAAAAATTCTTAAGAAGAAAGAATTTACATTTTATTACTTTGTTTTTGGTGTTAAGAAAAAAATAATAATTACATAATTAGCGGGGATTGATTAAGTGCAATGTCGTTAGGTATTTTTAACACTGCCTTTTATTTATTCTATACACTGAACATACTGTTCAATATTTTTTTTTTAAATCAATAACATTTAATAAGCCAGGTCCTACAAATCCTATATGTTTATTTCTTTCCATTTACGGATAAGCTTGGAGTATTATCATTTTTGTTCACTAAATTGAAACAGGCGCGTCCGCCGGCGCCCTTGCACGGTTCGATTTGGCACCCTGGGCTATCATGTGAGCGCTATGCTGCATAGTTTTGTTTTTAACAGTGCAATAGACTATGGGTAAGAAAGGTTACTATAGTCTTTAAGTGAATCAAATCCGGGCGTCCTCCGGCACCCCGACAGGGTGCTATTTGGCGCCCAGGGCCTTCCGGTGTACGCTATGGTATATACGTTCGCGTGAGTTCAAAAGACTATGAATAAGTTATGTACTATAGTCGTTTACTAAGTTCAATCAGGCGGTGACGTCACGTCATGGTGCGTCCTCTGGCGCCCAGACAGGGTGCTATTTGGGGTCCCGGGCCTCCCGTGTTCGGTTTCGCGCCTACGTTCATTAAAGTGAGTGCAAAAGACTATGAATAAGTTGGGGTACTATAGTCGTTTATTAAGCTGAAACAGGCGATTCCGCCCCGGGCTAGACTCTGAGCACTGTGCGTTTATGTTCGCGTTAGTGTTTTCTTTGTGTTTAAGTTGGGTTTGCGTTAGTGGTTGCGTTTTGATTTTGTTCGTTTTTGTTCTTTCTTTTTTCGTTTTCGTTTGTGTTTTATTTTCTTTGCGTTTGTGTTTGTATTTGTGTTTGTGGTTGGTTTTGCGTTTGTATTTGGTTTGTTTTCGTTTGTTTTTTCGTTTGTGTTTTTTTCTTTGGGTTTGTGGTTGGTTTTGCATTTGGATTTGGTTTGTTTTCGTTTGCTTTTTCGTTTGTTTTTTTCTTTGTGTTCGTATTGGTGTTTGTGGTTGTGGTTGGGTTAGTTGTTAGGTTTTTGTTTTTGTTTGTATTTGTAATTGTGTTAGCGTTATGTTTGCGTTTTGTTGTTTTGGTTTTGGTTTGGGTGTGCAATGCCGGGTTTATGATGATTACTAAACACACAGGTAATGGTCTTTAACAGAAAGGTTTTTCACAGAAGCCAGAGCAGGGCCTGGCCGGGACGGCTAGTATATATATAAGAGGAGAGAGATAGAGAGACAGATAGATAGAGAAAAAGTAATTATCTGAAGGCATAGTTAGATAGATAGATAGATATAGATAATGAGGTCTGAAGGTTTAGACTGATAAATCCTCCACACTTAGCTGTTAGTCATCTAGTGTAGATGGCACAACACAAACTTTAAAGTAAAGTGTGGACAAACTGAAAGTAGCAGTATGTAAACAGTAAACAACGTGTATAAACAGCAACCGTATCATGTTTCATCTCTCAGTTTAGAGGATACCATCGCATGAATCACCCACACAGTATGAATAGTTTATCCACTAATCTCCCCCCCCCCCCCCCCAATCTCCCGAACAATGAATATTCGTAGTAAAAATTAAGATAGTTGAAAAAAAAAAGATTGAATGCATGTAATGGTTCTTCATCACATTCATTGTTAAGGCAAACAATTAGACTAACGTATTCAATGAGCCCCACCCCCCTCCCCCATAGTCCAAACTAATAATTTTAAAACATAATGTGAAGAGGAAAAATCCGAAACTAAGAACTAATCATTGAAATAAAAAGAAGTTTTAAGACGAATGTAATATTGTGTACTAATTCAACACTTAATTTTTTTAGGACAATTTTAGCAATCTCGTGGCTTTTAGCACCTCTCCCCCACTTACGCCCCAAAAAAAAATTCCAAAGGGCGACACTATGTAGGTGTGTAACCTGGCCTAGCGGGTCGTCCCCACCCCTCCCTCCTCTTTGTGTTGCCTTTGCCCCGCGGTTGACGAATTTAACCTTAGCATAGATGTGACCCCCGGTCTGATATAATTAGGATGTCAGAGGTTAAGGGTCGGGAGGGTAACCCAGGGGTCGGGTTATCACCCTAAAAGTAAAGATAAAAAAACCCACTTAGAGTCAAATAAGGTGGACGAATCGCTCCAATAATCATGATTCTATTCGGAGGGTAGGGGGAAAATTTGTATTTACCATGTTGAGGAAAAAAACTAGGTTCTGTCCCTTGTCTTTGGGCTAATTGTCTTATTAACTCCCCTGTCAACTAGGATTATTATCAAGCGACCCCTGCTGTTCTGACATTCCTGAGTCGTTTAACCCCCACGGGACTGGGTGTTGTTAGTGTAAGGCCTGGGTCGCTTAACCCTCATGGGACTGGGTGTTGTTAGTGTAAGGCCTGGGTCGCTTAACCCTCACGGGACTGGGTGTTGTTAGTGTAAGGCCTGGGTCGCTTAACCCTCACGGGACTGGGTGTTGTTAGTGTAAGGCCTGGGTCGCTTAACCCTCACGGGATTGGGTGTTAGTGTAGGGCCACTCTCTGTAGACATGTGTGCCTGGGTCCCACTCTGGACGACCATAAATAATGAAGGATTGCACTGGTCATCTTGTGTCCACACACGATAAGCTTTGACCCTGTGACATGGCGGGCTGGAATGGGGGGGGGGAGTGACCTCCAGGTAGCACTGTGAAATAAACCTCTGACTTGACCATGATTTATGCGTGTCTTTAAATGTCACGGGTGTATGACACCGAATGCCAACTGGTGTCATTAGTCAGGATGTAGTATTTGCTTGAGTCATGATTTGTCAAGTAGCACCAATAGAACACTTAGGATGTTTGTTTGATACATGAGCATCAATAGATAGATGGTGGGCAGTTGCTGGGTTTTACTGTTAATGGGACTTGGTTACATGGGTTGTACTGTAGGTTAGAGGGAAGGACTACTGTAGGTTAGAGGGAAGGACGTGTTTATGGGACTATGGTTGGCTGCATGGATTTAAGTTAACCAGTCTAAGTGGTACTTTCCCTGACATTTATATGCTGCTGGGTTGTCCACTGGTTCCTCTAAAACTGGGTTGTCCACTGGTTCCTTTGGGTTGTCCAGTGGTTCCCCTAATGCAGGGTTGTCCACTGGTTCCTTTGGGTTCCTCTGCTCCTGGGTTGTCCAATTGTTCCTCTAATCCTGGGTTGTTCACTTGTTCCTCTAATCCTGGGTTGTCCACTTGTTCCTCTAATCCTGGGTTGTCCACTAATCTCCTAGTTCTGCTGCACTTTTAGCATTAAATTTTAAATGATGAAAATATTTTGTGTTAAAGTATTTAAATTACTCACACCCAACGTATTAAATAAAAGCTAATTATTATCTTTTTGTTTGCACGTAGAATGTGTGTATAATATAAACTTATGTATCTACTTGTGTCATCCACTAGCTGATGGAGTACAGAGATTCCACCTCAAGCCCAAGTGCCTGTAGTGTGGCTACATCCACATCTGCCCTGGATGGCGACAGACTCAACTCCCCTCCGTCCCCTTCCTCCCCCAGCACAGCGCCTGGGCCCATGGATGACCAGCGACTGCCCAACGAGCTCCTGGATGAGATCTGTGAGGACATTGGCATGAAGGAGGGCATGGAGCTGGACTTTGTTGAGTACCTGATGGAGCAGGACAGCAATCCTCATATTTACATGACCCAAGAGGCCATTTCCTCTGGTGCTTTTAATAGGTAGGTCAAAGGTCAATTAATATATCAATACTACAGTTGTTTCAGATCTATTTTAAAAGATACACAATTTTAATATACAAGTTGAATATTTTAAAACTTTTTTCTTAATTCCAGTGCTGCTGGTTCAACTATATCCACACCCACTGGTAGCGCCAGCGGGGGGTCCAACAGTGGTAGTGGTAGCAGCAGCCACGCCAGCAACAACAACGAAGGCAACAAGACACTGACTGTCCTCAACCCACCAGCAACCACCACGCCCAACTTCCTGTTCAAACCAAACTTTAACGACTCAGACTGGCTGAATCAGTTCCCCAGCCCGTTGATCCACTCATCATCTGGCCAGTCATCTGGATCCACCACCATCCAATCCTCAGAGAACAACAGTCCGTCCAACAAACGGATACACTTATCCGTATCCACAGACACCAGCCCAAACAAGGGCAGGTCCCAGACCCCGCCGGGGTTCAACCAAGCCAACTATGGAAACCAGATGAACAACCAGCACATGTTCAAGATGCCACCGCCTGGGCCGCTGACCAAACGGAGCCACTCCTTCCCTCAGGGTGCCCCGGCCTCCTCGCCTGTCCAGTCCACCCACTCGAGCAGCAGCCAGGGGTCCAACACTTCCTCCAACGGCCACAACGCCTTCTCTCGGCCGCAGGAGTTCTCCATGAACCCACCCTGCCACCCCAGTGATTCAAGCGACCAGGAGGACAACTTGACCAACAAGAAGGTCCCCTGTATCTCGCCCAAGCCGGTCATGCCCACCTCCTCGGCCACCTGTGACTTTATTAAGCCTGGCTCACCTGCCTGTGTGCAGGGGCAGTACACATCTATGCCCGGGTCTGTCGGCAGAGACGGGGGAGTCTTTCAACGGGTGGGGAAACAGCCGCCCCCGAATGTCAACGTTAAAACCATGCAGCCACACCAGCCACCACACCAACAACCACACCAACCACCTCCACAACACCAGAGGTAAGTTGTCAGTGAATTTGAAACTACCTGGGTATATTGCTGACCACGTTATTATTTTATATGTCAAGATTAAAAAAATAGATAAACGCTACTCCATCTGTTAATGAGAGTGTTCTACTTTAATTTAAATTAACAAAAATTGCAGTTAAGTAAGTAGCTGTAAGATGTATTTGTTTTTAAATGTAATTTGAAAATTTTTCTCCAGATGGGCAGGTCCACCGCAAAAACCACACAACGTTCAATATTTCAACAAAGGTGTCTATCCAGGCGGGGCCTTTCCCCCACACCACCCCCACCACCAGACCATGGGTCACGTCCACATGGGTCACATGGCCGGTCCGCCCGGCCCACACAACCCTCCGGTCAGGACGCCAGTGGACTCACCACTGGACCAGGGCTACTTCTCCAACGAGTCTGCGGGCAACTGCAGCAACGGTTCGGCCCCGTCCCCCGCCTTCACAACATCTTCCATCTCCTCGTTTTCGTCCATCTCTACCATGATGCCAGCTGATCAAAGTCAGAGCTTCTCACAGAAGGCTTCAGTCATGCAACAACAGCAGCCACAGCAGAGTTCAGGTAATCTTTACTGTAACCTCAAGACATGTACTTTGTCATCTATAGACAAATGCCTGAGTGGTGGTGTCTGATAATGGACTATTCTGAAAAGTGGTGTTGTTAGGTTGTTGGTAGTGTGTTGTTTTAGGGTCAGAAATTAGGGACAGGGCTATGGTAGGATGGGTTAGGAATATGGTAGGATGGGTTAGGGCTATGGTAGGATGGGTTAGGGCTATGGTAGGATGGGTTAGGGCTATGGTAGGATGGGTTAGGTCTATGGTAGGATGGGTTAGGGCTATGGTAGGATGGGTTAGGGCTATGGAAGGATGGGTTAGGGCTATAGTAGGATGGGTTAGGGCTATGGTAGGATGGGTTAGGGCTATAGTAGGATGGGTTAGGGCTATGGTAGGATGGGATAGGGCCATGGTAGGATGGGTTAGGGCTATGGTAGGATGGGTTAGGGCTATGGTAGGACTTAGGTTTAGTGTTCACATTAGCAGGCTATAAAATACTAACAACCAAATGTTCTAACACCCCTCCCCCCCGCCCCTTCTTTAATTAAGTTCAATAATTTGGCATCATCTAGCATTGTTATAACACATTCTCCCTAAGTACTTTAATCTCTACACTTTAGTATAAAAACATGACCATACACTCCATGGTTTAATGTTGAAATCCCTCTGCAGGTATGTCCAGCAGCCGGCCTCAGGTCCAGAAGTCTGTCCACTTTGCGGACATGCCAGAGGGCAGCCCACCTGCTTACTCCCAGAACAACAACACAATGGACGTCAAGCCCAACTTCGGACCAGGTCAAGCAGCGGATTGTTTCGATATGGAGAACAACGGCCAGCCTAAAGGGATGCAATCCATGAAAATCCTCCCCAGGATCAATCACAGCATGAAATCTGGCGTGGCGCCGTACACGGTCCCCAACAGCCAGATGATGGTGCCGTCCCCGTACGACTTCAGCAACCGCCCCAGCTGTGCCATGTCCGGTGACCCAGCCAGCCCAGACTCCATGCAGGAATTTATGTCCAAGTCTTCACAAATCAACGGCAGCAACAATTCGTTTTACGTGGACGGCAACCAGAACATGATGAGGATAGACTCCATGCAGGACTACCCTCCGCAGTCCGTGCCCCCGCTCATGCCCCCGCAGCAGTCCGGGGACTTTGGCGTCATGCCCCAGGGCCAGCCCCGGTACATGGAACAGTTCCCGCCCATGCAGCAACCGTCTCACCCCGCCCAGTCCTCCCACTCACAGCACGTGCCTCCGTCATCCTCATCGTCATCAGACTCAGCGCCGCCGCCCCACCCCCAGATGCAGCAACAGCAGCAGCCTGCTCACCACTACTCCAGTTGTTCTCACTCTGGGCAGGGGATGGGCCCCGAATATGGGCCCCCGCATATAAACAACATGCAAATTTCAAACAGCAATTCTGGACACTTCCAAATGCCTTTAGCAATGTCAACGCCCATGTCGAACCGGGGGGTCAGCAACAACAGGGGGTCATATGGTCCGCAGATGGGACCCCCGTCCTATGAAAATTCATTTGGGGGTCATCCAGACATGTACCAGACATCTCAGGGACCCCAGCACCCCGGCCAGGGAATGATGCCAAACCAGCAACCCTCCGTCCATAGAGGATGGGGGCCCGGTATGTCAGGGCCCCCAGGTATGCATGGCACGGACGAGCTTCAAGTCCAGGTGGGGGGTATGCACAATGTTCCGGGCCCCATGAAAGGTAGCCTTCAACCCCCCCACCCCCACATGCAGCCCAGCCCCACGCCCGGCTGTGCTGCACCTGGATCTCACATACAAGACCTCAGTATAATCAACTCTTCTGTTCACATGGGGCCACCCCACCCTCATATGGGCCCCCACCCGGACTATGGACCCTGCATGGGTATGAACTGCAACACCTGTAAGATGGCCCAAGCTGGGAGCCCCCCACATCTCCCTCAACACATGGGCCCCTGCCAAGGACCCAACTGCCCTTCATGTAAAATGAACCACCAAGGCCCGCCGTCTGCTCCGCATGGGGGCCCGTGCGCAGGTCCAAACTGCACGGCCTGCAAGATGCAGCAGGCCAACAGGCCCCAGATGCTGTCGTCACAACACAAATTCATCCAACACCTCATCATGGACGAGGGCAACTCGGCCTACCGCTCCCACCCCCTGTTCCCCCTCCTGCGAGACTTGGTTATAGCTGAGATGAACTTCGACAACCCACGGTTCCACTACCAGCAGCTGCTGAGTCTCCTGCCCAACGACTTCCACAAACTTTTACAAAACTTTCTGCACAGGAACCCCCCCTCAGGGCACTACCAGACCAACCAGGCGGTTGAGAGTGTCATCATGGATAGCTTACGGTTGGCACACAGCAACCTTGTTGGTGAGTACACCTTTTCACTAGACATCGTTATGGTTCTTTAAAACTTTTCTATGTAACAGCATTCACACGTATTCCAACTCATAGATGTCAATCAACCTATGGATTACCCTAAACAAATGTCCTTTGGTCATGTAAATTATATGGTTTGTCATTTTGAACATTTTTAAAATTATTTTAGAATTCTTTCCTTAGACCATGCAGGTTTTTTTCCTAACACCTATGGCACAGTTTTCTTGAATATTTGTATTCTACAGTTGTTTATTTTTGTAACCATGTTAGCTAATGGTGTAGACAACACTGTTTAGTAATCTTTGGGATAGTTAGGGACTTCTGATTGATCTGGAAACTGAAATGACTCTTCTACCCCAAGAATAGGAATATATTCATAACCTGTATTTCTAGACAAGGACCAACATTTCTTGTACCCAACTTCTTTTTTGTTCTTTATTGTAATATTGAAGGGAATATCCTCCAATCCAATTAAGTATTATGTTGTCAACATGTTATGTGCTGTATGGGCCATTGACTCCAACTTCAGCCTGCTGTTCTTTGTGGATTTGCTTCAATGCCTTTGCCATCCAAGTATTCCAAAAACAAAGTACAAGGCAGCAGCTGTTTGATTTTGGAGTTTTCTCTCCTAGATTAGTTACAGTCCTCAGCTAACAAGCCCAGGGGTTTGAACTGGGGACTTATGAGTTAGCAGTCGTACTCTTCCACCCGACCAACCCATTCCCTTGTACACAAGTATAAGACCAGCATATATTTTGTGCCATCACTACATGACTTACAGCTGAAATTTTATTTTTTCAGACAAGATTCGACACAGACAAGAACTGGAGAAAATGAAAGCCAACTCCTCAGCCTCTCTGAGATCTATGGAGGAATTCTGTCAAAAGTTTGACCACTCTGTCAATGGTCCAATGGTGAGTTACACTTAATCCTATCAACAATCCAATAGAATTACCTAAACTTGTCATTGGTACAATGGAATCATCTAAACTTGTTATTGGCACAATTGTAACATCTAAATTTGTCATTGGTACAATGGTATTACCTAAACTTGTTATTGGTACAATGGTATAACCTAAACTTGTTATTGGTACAATGGTATTACCTAAACTTGTTATTAGTACAGTGGTATTACCTAAACTTGTTATTGGTACAATGGTATAACCTAAACTTGTTAATGGTACAATATTACCTAAACTTGTTATTGGAACAATGGTATAACCTAAACTTGTTATTGGTACAATGGTATTACCTAAACTTGTTATTAGTACAGTGGTATTACCTAAACTTGTTATTGGTACAATGGTATAACCTAAACTTGTTAATGGTACAATGATATTACCTAAACTTGTTATTGGAACAATGGTATAACCTAAACTTGTTATTAGTACAGTGGTATTACCTAAACTTGTTATTAGTACAGTGGTATTACCTAAACTTGTTATTGGTACAATGGTATTACCTAAACTTGTTATTGGTACAATGGTATAACCTAAACTTGTTATTGGTTCAATGACAACATCTAAATTTGTCATTGGAACAATGGTATTACCTAAACTTGTTAGGGTACAATGGTATTACCTAAACTTGTCAAGGGTCTACTCCTGGTGTAACAAGTTTAAGTAGAAGATGACAAAGTTATAAACTTGTTGAATATTTACTTAGACTCGACGACGACATATGGAGAGGTTTTAAAATGTGATGTTATTGTTTCTGGTGAATGATACCAATCAGATGATTGCGCTGTATTATTATATTGTGTACATTGATGAATACAAGTAATACACTATGTGTTGGGATATACTGTAATGGGATAATGGGAGAATATTGTCTATTGTCAGGGAAAGAACTTGAATAAATACTCTGTGTAATGGGGGTAAAATAGGATAATACCAGTGTGTATATCTCTCTAAGGCATTATTCCTGCCATTGTATATAAGGGATAAGATAGGATAGAACCATTGTGTATACCTCATTACAGCATTATCCCTGCCATTGTATATAAGGGATAAGACAGGATAAAACCAGTGTGTACACCTCATTACAGCATTATCCCTGCCATTGTGTATAAGGGATAAGACAGGATAAAACCATTGTGTATACCTCATTACAGCATTATCCCTGCCATTGTATATAAGGGATAAGACAGGATAAAACCAGTGTGTACACCTCATTACAGCATTATCCCTGCCATTGTGTATAAGGGATAAGACAGGATAAAATCATTGTGTACACCTCATTACAGCATTATCCCTGCCATTGTGTATAAGGGATAAGATAGGATAAAACCATTGTGTGTATACCTCATTACAGCATTATCCCTGCCATTGTATATAAGGGATAAGATAGGATAAAACCATTGTGTGTATACCTCATTACAGCATTATCCCTGCCATTGTATATAAGGGATAAGATAGGATAAAACCATTGTGTACACCTCATTACAGCATTATCCCTGCCATTGTGTATAAGCTCCAAATTAACAGCACACTGAGACTTGTGTTGACACAAAGTTTGGCCTACATTGTGCTGTAGAATGTGGGTCACAATCTTTTGTGTGTGGATGTCATCTTTATAAACAATTCTTTTTACACTAGGGTCTTGTTTCCTCACAACTTAACATGGCATTACCCCCCCCCCCCCCCCAAACACAGTAGTACTTGTTTTCCCACAACTTAACATGCCAGTAACCCCCCTCCTCTCCCCCCCCCCCCCCCACACACTCACACATCGGTACTTGTTTCCCCACAACTTAACATGCCAGTAAACCCCCCTAACAACCCCTGGTGATCATGACAATGTCGCCATACCAGTGTATGTTTTAACCCTCCCCACATTTACATAACAAAACCCTCTGTCCACACCAGCCTCGCTCTGCGTGTACATAGCAACCACGCTATGACCCCCCCCCCCCACACACACACACGCACCAGTCATCCCGTTTCTACCCCTCTATTCATTTACATATTTAGACCTATATCCACACAAACCCTCTCCCCTTAGCAACCTCATCATGAATCCACTGTAGCATAGCAGCTCTTTCCACTTCTACACACCAACCCGTTTCCCCCCTCTGCTTAGCAACCCATCTAACCATTACTTAGCAAATTTTCCAAGCAACCCTTTTCACATCCACCAAGCAACCCTCTCCACCGCCATCAAGCAACCCTCTCCACCGCCATCAAGCAACCCTCTCCACCGCCATCAAGCAACCCTCTCCACCGCCATCAAGCAACCCTCTCCAGCTCCTTCAAGCAACCCTCTCCAGCTCCTTCAAGCAACCCTCTCCACCGCCATCAAGCAACCCTCTCCACCGCCATCAAGCAACCCTCTCCAGCTCCTTCAAGCAACCCTCTCCAGCTCCTTCAAGCAACCCTCTCCACCGCCATCAAGCAACCCTCTCCACCGCCATCAAGCAACCCTCTCCAGCTCCTTCAAGCAACCCTCTCCAGCTCCTTCAAGCAACCCTCTAAGGACCCCTGCACTTCTATTCTAGCAAGCAACCCATTTCATGATTCCATACCTACTCAAAAAACCTACACTGTTTCACACGAGTTTTCTGTTATAATCCATCAACCTACCTAATGCTACAGAACCCCCATCCCCTTGTCCTCAAAATTAACGACCCCCCCCCCCTTTCACCAGGTACACGAAGCACCCCCACCTCCACTTACATAGTACCCTATATTCACATTCCTCCCTGGCTAATTATCGGTCTCACCACACACACTAAAGAAGCAGACGATGAATGAAAGAAAGCGTGCCCTTATCACCGCGGTAACCTACAGCCAGCCATTTTAACCCCATTCACAAAACCGGCTCGTTACACAGTAATTCTACCTGCTCCGTATATAGGTCACGCCTGCCCCCAGCAGAAAGGATGGGATGCAATTTAAAACTAACTAAACATTTTTTTTCCTTCTTTTCGGTTGGGTAGATGGTGTGTGCGTGTATATACAGTTTAAATCTAACTTTAAATGTCCCTGTTCAATGTTGAAAATTTTCCAATCCGCTGGTTTATTTTAAATTTTATTTTTGTTGTTGATTAGTGGAGAAAAAAAAAGAATCGCTTATAGTATAGGGGCTGAACTTTATGGCTACCAGGGGTGGACTGGCCCACCATACTATCGGGGAAAATCCCGGTAGGTAAAAAAAAATCCGGTGGGCCCCTATGAACGGTACTGTACTGGCTAGGGCTAATTAGTACCTCCATTCTTTAAAAATAATTTGTCGCGTGAATTCTCATCTAGCTGAGAGTGATCATCGGGCTTTGATGTGGGGGTGGGGAATACAAAAATAAAAATGTTAATATGAGGTTGGGGGCCTTCTTTAAAAATCTCCTAGACCTCTTGGACACAGCCAGCCCCTTGTGGCTACCAAGAAATGTTTAGTTTTTAACCACTTATTTGATTATAGGTGTACGGTTAACCAAAGAGAAGCAATAATGGTAGGGGAGACTATTTGAAACTATTAAAAAAAACTGCGAATATAAGGAGACTGAATGTGAGGAAAATGTGTTTTATATATTATCATCTAACTCGAAACTAAAGCAGTCAGTATTTTTTAAAAAAGATTTGGGTCTAGAAACTTAGCAGTCCTGGTCTTAGTGGGGTTTGCCTGATAGGGAATTTGGCAATAATTTCGAGAATTCGATCAGCACGAACCATTTTAAAATAATGACAGTACGGGTGTGTGTGATTAAAAAAGTTTTCCACATGACGTTAAATTTCAACAAGTGTGGTGAAGTTGTAAGGGAGATAACCTGGTTTTTCTAGAAGAAAAATAAGTTTAAGAGCTACTTCCCTTGGTAATAATAACTTATCTGCAGTAACAAGTGAGACATAGGCTTCGTGCTCAATAGATGCAACCGCATCAAAAATTATGTTAAGAATTTAATTATGGGTAATATTTTTTAAAATGAATATTTTTTTCTTTAAATTTAGGCTCGGCCAGTTCCCAATGGAGTGAATACAATGGGTATGGGACACCCTATGGCAAGTTACCATGATGTAAGTTTGTTTCTTAAATCTGAACATTTTGTCCTTAACCTGAATGTTGTTTCTTTTACCTGAATGTTGTTTCTGTTACCTGAACCTTGTTTCCTTAACCTGAATGTTTCTTTTATATAAACATTGCAGCTTTCTGCAAACTTAATATTGTAGTTAAGTCCGTCATCCATTACCAGCTTAAAAATAGGAAAATTAATGAGCAGGCTAATCTATTGTTTATAATTTTATTTTTAAACTTCATCATATTTGTCATTTCATAAAGCAATAAGCTTAGGTTTTTAGCCTACTATAGTATTATCAGAAAGAATAGATGATGAGAGATATGCAAGCTGTTGATGAACATAGTTTGAATAATTGTATCAAACCTTTGTAGGGCGGCTACATGCAACCAGGGATGTCGCACATGGGTCAGTACAGGACAATGAAAGAAGGACAGGACATGCTTGGGGATCCTACCTTGTCAGCTGCCAGCCCTCAAGCCAACAAAACAGAATCAAAGAAACATCCCAGTCTTCCTAAGGAGGTAGAGTTATCTTTTCCTAAAGTTTTAAATGTTTAAACTTTAAGATTATTTTATATAAATCTCATATGTTGTTATAATTATTTTTTGTTATTTTGATATTTTTTTAAAGTAAATTATCATAGTTTAAGATTTATGAAAATGAAATGATTGTGTGGTCAGTACTTTGCTGAGCTGCGTATCTGTTATCAACGTTGAATTTTTATTTCAACTCTTAACATTTATCATAATTTTTTTTCCTGATCAGGCTGTTGCGATGATGATGGAATGGCTACGAAGTCACAAGGACAACCCCTACCCCAACGATGATGAAAAGGCCATGCTGATCAAACAAACAGGGCTCTCAATCAATCAAATCAACTACTGGTTCACCAACGCTCGGAGAAGGATTCTACCCAAGTGGGCACAGTGCAAAACATGATAGAAGTCAAGTCTAGGGGCAGTCATATAAGTCAGTCTAGGTGCAGTCATATAAGTCAAGTCTAAGGACAGTCATATGTCATGTCTAATGACGATCATAAAAGTCATATCTAGGAACAGTCTGTTTGAAGTCAGGTCTAGCGATAGCCTTAGAACTAAGGTTTAGCGACAATCATTTTAGAGATCAAGTATGAGAACAGTTACTTAAACTATGCACACTCTTTGATTCAGTGTAAGATTTGTTAGATTATAAATATACTGTCTTAAACTCTTACATAAGCAGAAAAATTTAGATCTAAAAGGTGTTTTTTTTTTTCAAGACCAATACTTTGCAGCATGACTTTGTCATATGCAAAGCTTGTCATTCAGGCTGAAGTATTCCCTCCTTAACGTCTAGTGCGGTGCTGGTACCCTGGTTAGCCTAACTACATAAAAACCTGAGCATAATCTATAGCCTAACAAGGGCATGTTCCAATACAAAGTAGTTTTGTAGATTCCACGAAGAGTTGTTCAACTTTTACAATCAACCGAACTTTTTAAAAATTTCCCAGCAATAAAATGACTTGACAAAAATGAATATATGCAAGCATATATCTGAATGTAATGAAATGGCCTACGTCTACAAAATCTTGTTGTGATATACAATACAGTAAAATAATCAAAACTTTTTTTTTTAAATGTCTGATACATGATATACTTAAAAATATCAGTTGACTTTAAAAAAAAAAAAAGAATTTCATGGAATGAAATGCTGAATTTTATTAAGCTTATCCACAATTATCAGCTGTTCTGATAGTCCTCACAGATTTGTAAACAGCATAATGTGCTGTAATTTTCTTTTTATATGAACGTATGTAAATAGTGTGTTATAAAAACATATGACTAGACTGATGTAGTGTGCAGTGCTGTACATGTTCTTTTAGTTACATTTTTCTATACTATATGACAATTGTATCCTGTTTCTCCCCCTCCCTCCCAATACAATTGCAGCTTTTCAAAACATTGAAAGCAGTCTGCTCTGGGTTGATAGAAAATAAATTTACATTCAATTTCTAATTACTGAGCAATAAGATTTTGCTAAAAAAATATATTTTACTGATCAAGTTTTAATACAACTTCTTGTTTATTTATTTTCAAAAATAAAATTTTTAACCTCATGCTGTTAAAAAAAAAAAAGAGAAATATTTGAGTTTCTATTTCTAGAAATATTTTCATGTAAGAGTTATCTCACCCTTGTGTCTTCACCAGTCTGCGTGCCATATGACAGAAGGAGAAAATTGTTTTCTAGTTTCACTCTACCCCGATTCTCCGTCCCTTTTTCTACACTCTATTTATATTTTTTTTTAAACAAAAGGTTGCCTTAAAATTTCAGACCTGTTGTCACCAAATTTGTTCATTTAACAAATTCTTCAGTTAATTTCATCTTGCAAGGGTTGGGTTACGTTATGATTCATACCTAGAGAAAACCGTTTATTCTATGTAAATATCTATATATATGATGGATGTTCAGAGCATGCGAAGTTGAATGCTGATTGGATGCTCTTATTCTTTTCTCATTTTGATGTTGAAAAGAATAATATTTATTGAGTTACTCTTATTTACAAATTTTGGTGTAATACATTTTTAGTAATTACTTTTCCAAAACTTTTTGACTTATTTTTAAAATGAAATTTTTAATTTATTTATATGGCAATGACAATTATTTTTAAATGAGTAAAACATCAGGGTTTAGTAAGGATCACAGCTTTTTAACCACTCGCAATGGATGTAATTTTTTTTTCCCGCTTCTCCATTGTTTCTGTTAAAAGAGTTATGAAAAAATATTAATTTGTATTTTTGAAAAGGTATGAATGTTTTTTTTTTAAAAGTCAAACCATGGTTGTGTGGATTTTTGAACGTTTTTAATACATTTGATATTTATGTGTGTGATGATGATGTATTGTGGCCTTATGTAACCACACATGTTGTGCACCACATATTTAGGTTATTTAGCAACAAATAGTGCCTTTCAAAGTGATAACTTGTTTTCTCCGTGTGAATGTTTATTTTCCTAGTACCCCGTGTTTGATGTGATCTTACATGTTAGCCAATGATGCAGTTCAATTATTTATCATTGGAAGTAGATCTGAGTTTTTTTTTTACATGGCATCCCATTTTTGTTTGTACATTCATAGTCATGGTGTTCAGTCAACTCTTCTTTACCACTACGCTGCAACATAGTAACCAGTCCCAGTTTTCTATGACCTTAAAATCTTATGTAAGGAGTTGTATTTCACAGTATGGTGAAATTTCAACTGCTATCAAACTTGTGTTGACAAATATTTTTTATCACTTTTATAATGAACAATTATTTAGGTAGTTCATTCAAACTTTTTTTGTATAAATGTTCACAAACATTTGGGGCTAATTATTTTTCATTTTAAAAATAATTTAACCCATTTTTAATTTTTCCTAACATAGACTGTACATGGAATGTATATATTAAAAAACCCTGTAAGAAACTTGTTAACCTTAGTCTGCTGCTTCACCCTTTCATGTTGCTCTCAAATGTTGTGCCCTCCAAAACTGTATCAAAACTATGACCACGTTCAACAAGTTGAATTTTCTACGTGAACAAAGTTTAACTTCCCTCCAATCAACCAACAGATATTGGTGATGTTTCTACATGAATATTTGTTCTGATGAGAAAGGAAGTGTTGAATGCTGTCTCTCTCTTTTTTGTTTTGTCTAGTTTTTTTTTCAGAACAAACAGCAAATATACAATCATATTACTTTCTACGCTTTGTTGTAATTATTTTAATGTATGACAGTCTGTGTGAAATATACAATTTTAAAATTGAATTAACCCCGAGTAGATTTTTAAAAATAGCTTGACCAACTTGCCCAATATACTAGATTCCAGTAGATGAAAAAAAAATCTAACCGCTAAACCTGAAGTCTGGACCCCAGGCTATGTGCCCTGAAAATGTGGTTGATCAGACTATCCCCTCACATGACATGGTCAATGTAGCCCCATGGACTGCAAATAGTGCAAAGCTTGAGTGAGTTTTTCCCCTGAGTTTATCAGATAATTTACTCAGTGCAACTACAAAAAGGCATGTGTATATATAAAATGACAGGCCACCTGAAATTAGTATTGTCAGTTTCCCATCCAGATACTCTTATGAGCTTGAGGTTAGCAAGCAGTACCATTAAGCTTACACATTTTGCATTGAGGTAAAGGGATTTCAAAATAAACCTTGGTAAATTTTTCTTCCAACACATTTTCTCAATAGCAAAGTTACAGCCAACACAATTTTAAATAGCATAAATAATTATTTTATTTTTAATAATACATATCTACAAAATATACAGTTTGTCAAAGTCCATTCAAAATAGAAATCAGAGGAAATTAAAACAGTGGAGCTACTGAGAATGAAAGGTAATCAACAAATATCTTGCAACGCCAAATATGGCATTGTACAATCAGATGTAGAATGCTGCAGATAATTTACAATGACCAACCACTTCAGGAAAAGGCTCTACATGATGGCATACAATACATCTCTACAACTTTGTTCACAAAGAATGCTTTACATTATTAGGGATCCACCATTTATGAGTTCACTTACCACTTAAGCCAATGCCAACTTCTAAATCCCTAAATTAAAACTAAAAAAAAAGAGATATTTTTTTTCTTAGAGTAAAGCTTAATGAACACAACAGTTATTCATATTTGCAAACTGCATAGAACATTACTGGTTGAATCCAGAGTGTATTAATTAGAAACTATGTTGATACAAGGGTTACTTGTATATAAGAAAGTGCTGAGCCAGTGAAACTACCTCTTGATACTTTACCCAACAACACATCAGGGTGGACATCATAAATGGATGATCCCTAACTCTCAGTGCCATAGCTCAGGGGTCGGCAACCTTTTGAAGTGGAGGAGCCAAAAGTTACAATTTTCACAATTTCCCTAGTTTTAAAGAACCACTAATAATTTTTTTATTTCAAGTATTTTAGTTTTTGATTAAGATTATTAGTATTTTTGCAAGGAGCTGGAGAGCCGCATCTTGACATCAAAAGAGCCGCAGGTTGCCGACCCCTGCCATAGCTACATATGTACATAATGAATCTTTAAGAAAATAATCATGAACATAAAAAAAAATGACATAGAAATAAAACAAATTTCATATGCATGATAATTGATACCACCAAAGTTTACCATACCTTTAGTGCACAACTCAAACAAATAGGCCTCTTCCCGCTAGGCCCTTAATACTTACACAGCGATTCAGATGTCTTTTAAAATCACCAATAAAGTATCATTACAAAAATATAAAAAAGTCAATGTATGAAGTAAACATACTAAATATGAACATAAGAAAGAACAATAAAGTAACCTTAGTGGGGACTGACAGTTCAACAGTGCCTGCATCACAGCTGTTGATCTGGTTAATCAAAGTCAAGTCTTTGAAAAACAATATTCACACACCTAAAACATAGCATGTTTTAGGTGGCATTTTACTTTGATATACAGTTAACAAACCCAGTTTATAAAAAAAAAAAGTCCCCAATAAGTTTAGTAGCATAGTAAATATAAACCAAATACCATAAGGAATCCATACTCCATATAATATCTGGCATGTAACTAACAATGTAATGTTAGCAGACCTAACCTCAATATCAAGCCATTATGTGCCACTAAAATTAAAAGATTACCAGTACTGGTCATTGCCAAGGTGCCAACTACCAGAACCCAGAATATTTAGCTACCCTGGTCAATAAAATAGGGACGGATCTGTTGGCACCATTGACTCACTGTACTCACCACAAACTGATAACAGCCGAAGAGCATAGCTGTTCAATGACCCTAAGTCATCCTGTACACACCAAGACCTTTCTCTTTGTCCCACATACAAAGCTGCATAACAAAATTACAATATAATGGTTAAAATTGCTGAAACACAAAATAAAGATAACTAAACAAAGCTATTACTTCATGTCAAAGCTACAAGATTAAACCATATTAGTAATGAATCAAATTACTTATTACTTTGTAGAAAGTGTCTCAAATTAACTTCAAATATTCATTTAACAACAACATGGAGAAAAGTAGCCTCAGTACCCTCTAAACCCTCAGTGAAATTTTCATAAGCTACTCTCCTTCATGTTGTTTAACACTTTAGACCCATCATTTTCATCTTACCAAAAATCAAAGATATGGAAGCTGTAGAACTTTAGATGATGAAATATCAAATTTAATATTTCATCCCACAGGAACATAAGACTATGAAGCAGATGCTGACTTTGCCTACAGAAAAGAAATGTAAAGCTGTACACTTTGATTTTGCAAATAGTAACCTTTATAATGTTTTGATTCTTTTTTCAAAAACATTTTAAGATACATGATAAACTTAACTTAAACAGTTACAAGTCAAACATAAAATTGAATTAATTATAGACTTTAGGCTGATGCTCAAGTTCTGTGCTTGTCTGTAGACTTCTTAAAGTAGGACTTGCAACCTGGAAATATCTTAATAGGGAAGTAATAATTGTTACAATGTTAACTCAGATTCTGTTTTACAACCTCTTTCCAGAAAGCTGTAAGTATGTTCTATGTACTATGAGCTTGAGAGGAACAGTGTGCACAAAACTCGAGACTGAATTCATCACCATTTACATGCAAACAAACACCAGCTTTTTTTTCTTTTTTGCAAGGTGCTTCAACAGTGGGTTCACCAGACACAGGAATGTTATCCAAAAGTCGTTTTCTGGTGAATCTGGTAGACAGGTTTACGACAGGCACATTGCCTATCTTGTTTAACAGGCTAGATAGTGGACTGGCATTCATGAGTACTGATTTAAGATAAGCAGATTCCTCTTCTAAGTTTGACATGTTTGTTTTTAAGTCAGCAATTTCTTGCTTCATTTGGTGGTTCTGGTTCTTCAAGACTTCCATTTCATTTTCAAGATTCTTGATGTAGGCCTTTTTCTTCTCTCGATTAAGCTTTGCCTGCTGCGCATTTTTCTTTGATCTGTCATCTATTGCTTTAATCACTTGCTCAGAAATTGAGTCATTCGAAACCAAGTTGCATGGCTTTTTGACAGTGATAATTTTTAAACCATGTAGCTTATTTTCTGAACTGACTTTCTTCAATGAACTGGAGCTCTGGCTTGAATCATCACTGTCATACTCAGCAGATATTGAACGAAAAGATGTGCCTTTTTTTGCATCTAGATCTACAACTTTATCATCTAAACAGCATTTGCTGTCACAATTTAACACGTTTTTAAAATTTCTTGTGTTACCTTCTGGTGTACAATTTTCGATACACTTAGATCTATATTGATAGATATTTCGTTCTTGGGGTGGAGGACTGCTCGCAACACTTACAGATTCTGACTCAGATACCCCGCTATCAGATTCATGCAAAGGCGATGGCTGCAAACTGCTGTTTACATAAATATGATCAAAATTTGTTGATGGTGATACTAAAAACTCTTCAGGGTTGAAAATACTGTTGCTTTGATTACTTACATTTGTTGAAGTTGATGAAATATCAGAATCAACATTTTCATTTGACTGAGGAGACGCAAAATTGACATCTGTCGTTATTAATGGCAAAGAACATTCCTCTATGTTGGGCTCCAGGAAATCATTAAACATGTTCTCAAAATCAGCGAATTCTTCACTAAAATATCCGTAATTCATCATTTTTATTTAAGTTAAGGTAAACACAAAATATTAACCTGAATATGACAAAACTCTTCTAGCTTAAACTCTAAACGTTGTTTTCGTCCTGGTCGTGTTGGTAGAGTTTGATAGTTTGGCCTATCCTAAACTCTAAATTCATCCGCAGAAACGTAGTTCTAGGTTTTGGTCGGACTCCAAGAACGCCTAAAACATGTTACGATTGGATGCATATCTATTTTTAACGCTTTTAGTGATATCATAGTTTATTTTTAGAAGCACTGTAATGACTCGTGATTCAACGTATGTCTAACGTTTTCGGTATTGCACTTTTTTTCATCCGCAATATAGTTCAATACAAAGATAATAAAATTTCACCTATATGGATTTTAAAAAAGATTCCCCCATCATTTAATAAACTGTCACAAAACAAGAATATAAAAAAATGCAAAGAACATTAATATTTTACGGCAAAAAATTTATAAGAAAAAGAATTAACTTCCGGAGCTTTAAAAGAATATCATATGCCTATCTTGGCCTAGGTGTAGTCTAGACCCAATTTATTAAAAAGTAAGATTTTAGGCTATTAAACTTATTTTAAGAATCAATTTAATATTTTTAAAATCAATTATTATAAAGCGCCTCCAATTTTCGATGTCTATTGATAAGCATAGAGTTTCAACGATTAAATAAATAGCAAACAATATAAAATTTTAATATATGACATGCTAAAAATAAAATAAAGAATAATTAAACATTTTAATAACATTTTTTAAATAACTACCGAGTATCAAAAAGCAGTATCCAGCAGCATTCCCTTTACTTTAAAATGAAAATCAGTTCCTACCTAAAAAAAATAAATAAAAATAAGCTTCTTTTTCTAGATCTAGATCTACATCACATACACTAAACGATTTTTTGACGTCTAGATCTAGCTGCATTCAGTGAGCGCGCTTTAAATAGACTCCAAATGAACAAGGGAGAATACCACGTTTTTTTTTTTGACTGGGCAAGAATGCTATTTGGTCCTTAATTCCCTTTAAGCAACACCTAGTATTTTTAAAGGGTTGTCCATAAAGACGTCTATTTACAGCATTACAATGGCGCTAGCATTACTGTAACGAAGGGAATACAATGGATTTTTTGTTATCCTAGTGAAGAGATGAGGGTAATATCATTTTAAAAGCGTGACGTCTTTTGTACTAGATTCTAGACCCTTTAGACTGATCTTGACGTAATAAAACACCTTAGTGGCCCCTGCTTGTTTAATATATGAAATATCTTTAAAACTTACGAAAAATAGTGTTTTATTATATTTGTACTTAAGAAATACAAATTATCAGCTTTTCCACATTTATACCCCCCCCCCCTACTTACTTCCCCGAGTGCCATAATCTCAGAAACTGAAATCCCCCTCCCCCTGCCCTTTCTTTTTTTCTTTATCGGTATGAAATATGTATGACATTTAAAGTCAAATAACAGTGTATTAACTAGATTTTTCTGTTAATTAAAGTATTTTTTTGAAAGTAGAATGCCTTCATAAATATTCTTATAGACTCTTTTGGACCTTTCCCTGACTTTCCGTAGGTCTATCTGGATCTATATCTAGATTCTAGATCTTGAATCCAATCGTGTAGTTTTTGGTGTTTAGTTTCCGTAGTGAATCAATTTCCGGTTTGAACTTTCATTTTCTGAGAAGAGTTCTTGCATCAGTGTTTGTTGATGCTTTGCTAATTCTAGAATCTAGATCTAGATCAGATTCTATTAGTTAGTATTATCAAAAAAGTTTTGATTTGCTTTCTTCGATAAGAACATCAATCAATATCAAACACACTCAAAAGAAACTACACTTTAAATTTGACATTTGCTGAGCGCACGTCAATTTTAAATACCAACTTTTAACACACAGACACACAGTTTGACACACACTGACACAGAGATCAAACAACGTTGATTGAACGTAGTACGTAGTAACTAGATTCTCTACAGATAGATCATAAGATCTAGATCTATTCTAGTGCTAGAACAACTTAATCCAGTTACTAGATCTCTAGTCTAGATCAGGGTAAAACTCCATTTTAGCGTATTTTATTCCCCGCTTCACGTCCACCTCCAGTTGGGCGTATTATTTATTATGAACATAACCGAAACACACAAAAACGTTAGGAAAACACTAGAGCTAGATGTACTTATTTTTTATGAATGTGATTATTATTTGGAAAAGGTAAAAACAAAAAAGCATTAGAACAGTTCCAATTAAATATCGTGTGATCGTCAGCGGGAGAAAAATACTTAGAATCTACATGGTCGCGGGTTCACCATGAGTTCACATTGACTTCAATTATAAGCGTATGTCATAGCTCGGGCAATAGCTGTTTGAAATTGTGTTGGCCTCAGTTTTGGGGTCATTTTAAGTTCATAAATGTTTATTTATAGTATCATGCCTTGGAGATACTTGTAACAATACAAACTTAACCGCCTTGCAATTGTGAGTTATGTTTACGTACTTCACCCATCCATTGCCATGAAAATCCTGACACACACACATAGCACATTCAATATTCTAAATTTGGATTTTTCTCAAGTTTTGACAAAAGTAAATTATCACAATCTAAAACGAAGTCAGACTCTTTGTTTTTTATTCATTTTTATTCATTTGTTAAAACAAAAATACAATACAATTAAATAAATCGTGTTTTCCTAATATTTTGGTGTCTTTCGGTTATTATAATAAAATACGCTCAACTGGAGGTAAACGAGAAGCGGAGAATAAAATAAGCTAAAATGGAGTTTTACCCTAGATCAGATCTAGTTACTAGTCATAGTACTACTAAAATCTACACAGTAGAGATTAACCATTGGTCCTGACTGATAAATTATAAATAAATAATAAGTGATAGGTCTATTTAAAATCATTTGCAGCTTTTTAATTTTAGGCCTAACAATTACATTGGTCACAACAAGATTGTAGTAGCCATATGCATTGAAAAGGGACAGACAATTTCACGTTTAACTTTTTAAATACAAATAATTATATTTTCCTGTTCATAAAAGTAACTAATAAATTTTTTTAATGTAAATGTATTAAGTTGCAGAAACTGAGCATTATTTCTATTTTAAATATAAGAGAGTTGCCCTATACACTCTACACAGTAACTTAAAATTTTCTGTCATAAAAATACAATTCTCATTCTAAATTTTTGTCAGGGATTTCAAAACATGTACATCAGTTTTTAACATCTTTAATTAGTGATTCTTTTATTTTAACTTGCAGATTTCACTTGTATTGATGAGAGTAAGATCTTATTACATTGGACCATAAAATCTTTGCCCACACTTCCCCCATGGCTGATGTCAGTGGTTCACAAGCCCCACAGGCAGGAACCAGTGCCACAAAGGTTGATACACCTTCTGAAACTAAAGAGAATATTGCTGAGCTCAATGTCAGCAATGTAGACCTACTGGAGAGCGGGATTGAAGCTGCTATTGGGGCCATGCCAGATTTCTTGAGTGCCAAGTGGGACCCTGATGACCCAACAGATACAGAAGTGACCAATCCACCTTCACCCTCGTGTATTAGGCGCATTAAAAAGTTGGTTTCATTTCACTATCATTGTTAAGTTTATTTTTTTTTTCAAAAAATTAATTTTTCTAAATATTTTGATTCCTGAACACTAACACTGTAAAATAATTTCATCATAATTTTTTTCCCTGTTTGTGCCCAAGACACACGGGGTAGATGAAGTAGAGTTCATCTGTTTCAGAGACCTCAGGGATAGTGAATACAAAGGGATAGTGTAGTCAGCACTATGCCCAGCCGCCTTTGCTTTTCCTTACGTGAGTTAGGTACCCATCAGAGCTTAGTGGACTCCGTGACATTCTACTAACTTGAACCTGGATTCGAAATAAACAACTTTAATAATTTGTTTCTGCTTTCAGTGATATTTTAGCAATATATTCTGATCCACCTCCAGGACTTTGTGTTATGCCAGATCCTAATAACATCACCAAGGTATTTTGATATTGTTATAAAAAAACATAAAAAAGTAGCTAACAGTAACTAAATTCTTTCTCTTTTCCTTTTATATTTTTGTTAAGTAACCATTTTCCCATGTGCTTTTTTTTTTTTTAATTTAAAAATAATTTAGATTTTCCTTTTAAAATGCTGTAATTTTATTTTTATATTATTTGTAGATTTAATTTGATTACTACATTTAATAATCAAAGCATAGTGAACAAGACTAAAAACAGATGAAATAAAAACTAAATAGTTTTATCCATTATAATTTTGTCAAAAGATTCTACATTCATTAAATATTAAAATTTTATCAACAGATTCATGCCCTCCTGACTGGTCCATTCGACACGCCATATGAAGGTGGATTCTTCTATTTTCTCATCCGCTTTCCCTCAGACTATCCCATCAGCCCTCCTCGGGTCCGCTTAATGACAACAGGAAATGGAACAGTCAGATTCAACCCAAATTTATACAAAAACGGCAAAGTCTGTCTCAGTATATTGGGGTAAGTCTGTCTCAGTACATTGGGGTAAGTCTGTCTCAGTACATTGGGGTAAGTCTGTCTCAGTACATTGGGGTAAGTCTGTCTCAGTATATTGGGGTAAGCATCTAGTATCAATATAACTATATGGCGATAAATATGTAATATCAGCCTATAATTGTAAGCACCAAATATCAGCCTATGTTGGTAAGCACCAAATAGACTATGCCGGTAAGCACCAAATATTAGTGTGATTATAAGCATCAAGTAGTAGCCTACATTTAACTTAATTAAAGCTTAAAACTTTTAGTGTTCTAGGATAAGCACCAAATCTGTATTAACACTGATTGTTAAACACACTGTTGGTTGAAGTTACATGATACTGAGGTTTAAAAAATTGCAAGAGGTCTTTTATGTAACTACTTACATAAATAGATAATGCAAAACTACAGAAATATTTAAGCACAAAACAGCACTTTTTATGACAGTTGCAAAAAATTAATTTTATTTAAAAAGTCTGTTAAAAATAAAACTTTTATTTTACATGCTACAAAACAAAAGATTGAGGTTGTTATTAAATGTTTTTAAATTATTGGTTTTTTTTGTTGTTTCACAGAACATGGGCAGGTCCATCTTGGAGCCCAGCACAGACCTTATCAACTGTTCTCATTTCCATTCAGTCCCTGATGAATGAGAAACCGTACCACAACGAACCAGGTTTTAAACATGTGAGCAGCATGCTAGTCTTGTTACATTTGGCACTAATAAAACTTACTGAATAGGATATTCCTTTTTTTTAAATTCGTTTTTTTTTACCTTCAATTTTATCCTCTCAGTAGAACTGGCCAGCTTCTGTTATTTTTTTATTTACCATAACAAAGGTATAGACATGAAAAAAATTGTATTTTTGTGTAATTTTTATAAGTTAAATATAAAAAGCATGTTCCTTGTCAATAGGAACGGACGTCTGGCGATTCGAAACATTACAATGACATAATCCAGCATGAGACCATACGTGTGGCTGTATGTGATATGATTGATGGGAACATCCGGATACCAGACACATTAAGGTGCGTGTTTTTTCTTCTTCCAAGTGAGCCATGAGCACTGTTTTAGAAAATTTAGTTTTTTATTCTGACTAGTAATTGTGTTTGGTACTGCAGTAACTATTTCTGTTGGTTTTGTTGATAATGCTTTGTTGTAAGGAAGGTGCTGAATATAAAATATTTGTCATCTCAATGATTTTATCATTGAAAATAATCTACCATTTGACTTTTTCTTTAATTAATATACCCAAAACAATTCCTGTAAGTTAAAAATACTTAACTTGGTTTTCATTAACCATGGTATGTAATGCTATTATACTAGTTTTAAAAAAAAAATATTTCCATATTAGGTCTTGTTATTTTTAGGGTTTTTCTTTTAAACATTTTTTTTTTCTTTTCTACTCCAAATATTGGACTAAATTCTTTTGTCTTAGGGTTGTCATGGAGAGCTCATTTCCTGACTATTACAAATATTATGTCCAAGTGTGTGAGTCTCATCTTCACCTGGATGGCATGGACATGAATGTAAGTAGGGGTCAGAGGGCAAGTTTGCTTTATTCTTTAATTTTTTTTAAAAAAACAAAATATTAGAAAGTATCTACTAGTAATAGTAACCAAAGTAGGTGTTAATATTTTTAGTTTACATGCCCAAGTCAAACTCTTACACCATTTTGGTCTCAGTGATCAAAGCAGTTTTTTTTTAAATATAAAAACCAGTAGATCACATAATCTTTCCCCACATAAAATATTTTTTGCCAATTTATGCAACTATACAATAGCACATTTTCCCTCTGGCTTGGAGTGGCTTGTGCCAAATCCTTATAATAGAATACTTTTTTTTTCATCTTTCTGAATTTTGCACTGAGGTGTTTCTTTTTCTTACCCACATTTTAGTTTTAATATGCTAACATACATGCGCATGACGATTAACATAAATGCATGTTTATGTGATACTATAAGTTAATCTTTGATTCAAAACTTTTTAGGATCCTTTTGGAGACTCCAGACCCAAGTTTGACTTCAAGTCTTTACTCAAACGCCTGAAGGCCATCCGGGCAAGGCTGGATAATAAGACCACAGACAGCGACAGTCAGGAGGAGTTGGATGAAGATGATGATCAAAGTGACAAGGAGGAAGAGGAGGATGATAAAAGTTGACGCCAAGAGTACCGTCCCAGCCAGGAGGGGGTGGGGCCACACCAAGGGACCTGTGGGACATGTCGCTGCGGCTGTGCTGTTTTATAAGGAAGCATTTTGTGATAATTTTTTTTAATGTGAATAGCATGTGTATTATAGATTTGTATTGATTTACAGTTTTTTTGTATAAAGCTTGATGCAGATGGCAGTTTTGAATTATTGCCAGATTTTTAAAACTGTTAATGGTAACTTGTATAGCTAAAATATGTGCACCATTCACAATTTTTAACCAATACTTTTTAAAGCTACTTCTAATTCTAATGGATGTTTCAGTGGGCTTTTAAAGTTTTTTCTTTCTTACTTTTGCAGAGAGGTTTGACTTTAGTTAAAAAAAGATTGTGTTCTTTATGTATTTTTACCGCAGTCATTTGAGTTATAGACAATGAAAATCTGGAAACAACATTAACCTCAGAAAACTAATGTCTTGAGGACAGGCCTAGACAAATGCATGGTAAAATACTGAGTTCAAATCCCCTGTATGTTTTGTGTAGATCCAGAGCTAGTCAGTTTTCTGTGACTGACCAGGAGGAACTTTTCTAACAGGCTGTCTAGTTAATTCTACCTGCTTCTGTTTCTCATTTGTGGTTAGTAATGACATCTGAAAACTAATTAATGCTGTTGCAGATATTTAGTTGTGATGATTATTTACTTAAATTTTCATTATTTTCTGAATGGAATGTTCATGATGTACATTTTTAAGACACCCTGTTAATATGGATGCATTAAAACATGAGGGAACAAACCTTGGATGGAACACTTGTGTTATTTCAAGTAGTAATGGGGGCGTGACCTTCTGCTGTTTACTAACAAATAGTTAATGTAAATAAATTACTTTTTTTCTATGTTTATCATAGCTATGTAAACAATTTGTACAAGTTAGATAGACTATGACGATTTTGGTTAACCCAGACAATCTTTAAGTTGGTCGTTGCCATACATACTGTGTTATTCTACCTGTTTTCTTTTTAAAATGTTGTGTTCATAAAATGACTGCATTATTACAAGTACACTGATATTATTGTCTCATATCTCCCTCACAAATACCTACTAAAGTTAATGATTTTTAGGCGGTAAATAAAAAAAACATTCCAAAGATTTGAAACAAGTTACACCCATGGTCTAAGACTTGACATCTCATAAGGATTTTTTTTATATCCTTCTACCAACAGAAATGTTTAATCACATTTTAAATGAAGCATGGCTGTTTCCAACAAATCATCTCAACAAAAATTAAGTGATTACTAGATCTATTATTACAGTAGAACAGCAGTCACATATCAGATTACTGACACTTTTTATTTTACTTAAACTTTGCTGAAAGTTTTTGTACATTATAGGATCTGAGCCTTTTAGATAGAATTCTAAGTAATAAATATCTGGCATTTTGATATGTTTTGTTTTCTTTCTATTTCTTTGTGGTGATTATTTCCAGTTTTCTACCAGCCAAAATATGTAACCAACTGATTAATGTAAAAAAAAAAAGCAATTTATTTAATAAAATAATTTTTATTATGATGATATCACACAATCTGCTCAGATGATATAACTGATATGGGACTTTTAAAAAACAAAGATTCCTAAAAAAAAATAGTCATACTTTCAGGATCAAATGTTATAACTGTTAAAAAATTACATTCTAGACAGACCATCATATATATGTATAAATGAAGCTATTGAAAACAAGATCTAGAATAAATTTCGAATGAACAAACCAAGCTTTCAAACAAACATTGATCCTACAGCTGAGCCAGAGTTTACAAATCTTCACGCTTCTTGTGTCCATGCTGTGTGTTGTGGGGGACTTGTTTGGAGTCCAAGTCAAAATCAGTGGGGACCCTTTCCAAAAAGTTCCTCATAGACACGTAGTTCGGAGCCTCGTCGTACTTGTTCAGGTACTTGCCACCCACGTACAGCTTGAAGGAGGGGAACACCTTGATGTTCTCCATCTCACATAATGCTGGGGAAGGCAAACAGTTTTGTCCATCAATTAAACAAGCATTTTCAAATTAACATGGCATTAAAATTCTGCTACTTAAGAAAAAGTATGTTGCAGTATCACAAGGAAAAGCATGAGCCACTTCACATTGTAGCAAATAATCTGCTGATTAATAACAAACAAAAATATGAGCTACTATTTTATACTTGTGGGACGGGGTGGCCTAGCAGTAGAGAGCTAGACTACTTATGTGAAACCCTATGGTTTAAGTCAGTAGAATGTCCCTGAGTCCACCCAGCTCTGGTGGGTACCTAACTCACATTAGTGAAACAAAGGCTGGGCATATTGCTGACCACACTATCCCTTCATATGCAGAGGTCTCGGACACATATGAACTCTACTTCATCTGCCCCATGTGTCTTGGGCACAAACAGGAAAAGATGCTGATTTTATACTTGGAAAGGTTAGAAAATATGCTCTACCAGTTTTTAAAGTAGGTTTTCAAAAAGTAGGGTTTAAGTACTGAAACTTGTAGCCAAAAGGTTTATAAATGTATGCATGACAGGTGGACTAAGTAGTACAATAGTTTCATTTAACTAGGTAAACTACAAATGCAACACAAGTACTAGCAATGCTAAACTCAAAAGTTCTTATTGGTAGATGAAAGACATCTATGGATCTTGTTGATTTCAATGAGAACAGTTAAAGTTGGGTGGTCAAGATTGTAACTTGCTATTGGCCATAACCACGAAAACAAATGCACTTAGCATCATAGAACTAAAATGCTATTCTTAAAAACTTTCTCAATATTACAAGACTTAACAACTTGGATGACATCCCCTACAGCCTGTAAAATAAAAACAAAAGCCAGCTAGTATTGTATTAGAAGCTTACCTTCTTCCTTCGAACAATCAACTGCTGCATAGAAGCGGTTTTTCACAGTGGTTGTTTTAGCTGCCTTGAGGAAATGAGGTTTGGCGCTCTGACAGTATTTGCAATCAGGGTTATAGAACATGACTAGAGCTGCTGCCTTTTCTCCTGTGTCAAGGGAAATAAGTTTTTGTTTTAAAACTGAAAATGAGAAAGAGAGAAAAAAATGGCAGTACTTACTATTTGGCCTAGGGAACATTACTATCCCTTTTTATAATCAAAAGGAAGTAATATTTTTTTTTTAAAAAGATAAATGAAAACCACAGGGAATTAACCATAGTTCTCCACTTTTGGGAAAATGGTATTTTGTATTTGAGATCTGTTTTTGTTCCACTGTGGTATGATTTTAAAATCCTAAGTATTGCGCGGATTGTGCTTTAATATTGTTATATGCGATACATATACAATTGTACTACATGAATCAGAAGCTAACTAAAAAAATTCAAACAATGGACGTGTAGTTTTTCCCATGTGGTTTTCAAATGTTTACACCAAAATTAATCACAATACAACTGACCAATAGCTAGCTGCCACTGTTTGTATGAAGACATTTTTGTATCATTGTTAAGGTTAGTTGGTTAGTGCTACAATAGATACCAGGCAAACTCTAACCTACCTAATACCAAGATCAACTTTAACCCACACTGCAAGACCAGACATAACAACAGATCACCCTAAGCATTAAGGCTATAAAGTTTTATACACAAAGATCCAGCATTACTGACAATACAACCATTAAACTACAACATTATAGCTTAAACACAACTATTGCAACTACAACATAGCTCACCAATGAAGTTTTGGAAATCTTTTCTGCCAAGCATTTTAACAGATCGGGATTTGATGAAGGGGATGGGCTTTTCTTCATCTTTCTTTGACGCTTTAGACATTTCTGCTGCTTCGTCTCCGTACAAAGAGCTAGTGGAAAAAACATTCATACCATGAAATATTTGATGTTCAGAACTTACTTCGGTTAACATTAGCTCAAAAGCTGTGAGATCTAGTCTGAATCAGATTAACATATTCATAAACTGAGATTACTCTTAAAACTTTATCATAATTCAGAAGCTGTACCAGATCTAACATACAACTTACTCTATCATAAACTGTACCAGGCCTAACATACAACTTACTCTATCATAAACTGTACCTGGCCTAACATACAACTTACTCTATCATAAACTGTACCAGGGCTAACATACAACTTACTCTATCATAAACTGTACCCGGCCTAACATAACTTACTCTATCATAAACTGTACCAGGCCTAACATACAACTTACTCTATCATAAACTGTACCAGGCCTAACATACAACTTACTCTATCATAAACTGTACCAGATCCAACATACAACTTACTCTATCATAAACTGTACCAGGCCTAACATACAACTTACTCTATCATAAACTGTACCAGGCCTAACATACAACTTACTCTATCATAAACTGTACCAGGGCTAACATACAACTTACTCTATCATAAACTGTACCTGGCCTAACATACAACTTACTCTATCATAAACTGTACCAGGCCTAACATACAACTTACTCTATCATAAACTGTACCAGGCCTAACATACAACTTACTCTATCATAAACTGTACCAGGCCTAACATACAACTTACTCTATCATAAACTGTACCAGGCCTAACATACAACTTACTCTATCATAAACTGTACCAGGCCTAACATACAACTTACTCTATCATAAACTGTACCAGATCCTCTTTTGTTCTGCCACTCTTGTACTCTGTTTCTTCACCTTCTCTGTAAAAAATAAATCACTTATCTACAGCCACACATGGACTGACATTACAGAGGAGAACATTTATTAGCTGATACAGCGGTAGAGTAAAAGATTTTCATGTCACATGTACTACATCTCATAAGGTGATACAGTACTAGATGTCACAGAGTTATACAGTACTAGATGTCACAAGGTAATACAGTACTAGATGTCACAAGGTAATACAGTACTAGATGTCACAAGGTGGTACAGTACTAGATGTCACAAGGTGGTACAGCACTAAATGTCACAAGGTGGTACAGCACTAAATGTCACAAGGTGATACAGTAATAGATGTCACAAGATAATACAGTACTAGATGTCAGAAGTTGATACAGTACTAGATGTCACAAGAAAGTACAGTAGTAGATATCACAAGATGATATAGTACTCGATGTCAGTACTGGATGTCAAAAGATGGTACAGTACTAGATGTCACAAGAAAGTACAGTAGTAGATATCACAAGATGATACAGTACTGGATGTCAGTACTGGATGTCAAAAGATGGTACAGTACTAGATGTCACAAGAAAGTACAGTAGTAGATATCACAAGATGATACAGTACTCGATGTCAGTACTGGATGTCAAAAGATGGTACAGTACTAGATGTCACAAGAAAGTACAGTAGTAGATATCACAAGATGATACAGTACTCGATGTCAGAAGTTGATACAGTACTAGATGTCACAAGAAAGTACAGTAGTAGATATCACAAGATGATATAGTACTCGATGTCAGTACTGGATGTCAAAAGATGGTACAGTACTAGATGTCACAAGAAAGTACAGTAGTAGATATCACAAGATGATACAGTACTCGATGTCAGTACTGGATGTCAAAAGATGGTACAGTACTAGATGTCACAAGAAAGTACAGTAGTAGATATCACAAGATGATACAGTACTCGATGTCAGTACTGGATGTCAAAAGATGGTACAGTACTAGATGTCACAAGAAAGTACAGTAGTAGATATCACAAGATGATACAGTACTCGATGTCAGTACTGGATGTCAAAAGATGGTACAGTACTAGATGTCACAAGAAAGTACAGTAGTAGATATCACAAGATGATACAGTACTCGATGTCAGTACTGGATGTCAAAAGATGGTACAGTACTAGATGTCACAAGAAAGTACAGTAGTAGATATCACAAGATGATACAGTACTCGATGTCAGTACTGGATGTCAAAAGATGGTACAGTACTAGATGTCACAAGAAAGTACAGTAGTAGATATCACAAGATGATACAGTACTCGATGTTGCAGGGTGATACAGTACTAGATGTCACTAGGTGGTATAGTACTAGATGTCATACAGTGATGTAGTACTAACTAAATGTCACAAGGTGATTCAGTACTAGATGTCATACAGTGATGTAGTACTAACTAAACGTCACAAGGTGATTCAGTTCTAGATGTCATACAGTGATGTAGTACTAACTAAATGTCACAAGGTGATTCAGTACTAGATGTCATACAGTGATGTAGTACTAACTAAATGTCACAAGGTGATTCAGTACTAGATGTCATACAGTGATGTAGTACTAACTAAATGTCACAAGGTGATTCAGTACTAGATGTCATACAGTGATGTAGTACTAACTAAATGTCACAAGGTGATTCAGTTCTAGATGTCATACAGTGATGTAGTACTAACTAAATGTCACAAGGTCCTACAGCAATAGATGTCATACAGTGATGTAGTACTAACTAAATGTCACAAGGTGATTCAGTTCTAGATGTCATACAGTGATGTAGTACTAACTAAATGTCACAAGGTGATTCAGTTCTAGATGTCATACAGTGATGTAGTACTAACTAAATGTCACAAGGTCCTACAGCAATAGATGTCATACAGTGATGTAGTACTAACTAAATGTCACAAGGTGATTCAGTTCTAGATGTCATACAGTGATGTAGTACTAACTAAATGTCACAAGGTCCTACAGCAATAGATGTCATACAGTGATGTAGTACTAACTAAATGTCACAAGGTGATTCAGTTCTAGATGTCATACAGTGATGTAGTACTAACTAAATGTCACAAGGTCCTACAGCAATAGATGTCATACAGTGATGTAGAACTAACTAAATGTCACAAGGTGATACAGTTCTAGATGTCATACAGTGATGTAGAACTAAATGTCACAAGATGATTCAGTACTAGATGTCATACAGTGATGTAGTACTAACTAAATGTCACAAGGTGATTCAGTACTAGATGTCATACAGTGATGTAGTACTAACTAAATGTCACAAGGTGATTCAGTTCTAGATGTCATACAGTGATGTAGTACTAACTAAATGTCACAAGGTGATTCAGTACTAGATGTCATACAGTGATGTAGTACTAACTAAATGTCACAAGGTGATTCAGTACTAGATGTCATACAGTGATGTAGTACTAACTAAATGTCACAAGGTGATTCAGTACTAGATGTCATACAGTGATGTAGTACTAACTAAATGTCACAAGGTGATTCAGTTCTAGATGTCATACAGTGATGTAGTACTAACTAAATGTCACAAGGTCCTACAGCAATAGATGTCATACAGTGATGTAGTACTAACTAAATGTCACAAGGTGATTCAGTTCTAGATGTCATACAGTGATGTAGTACTAACTAAATGTCACAAGGTGATTCAGTTCTAGATGTCATACAGTGATGTAGTACTAACTAAATGTCACAAGGTCCTACAGCAATAGATGTCATACAGTGATGTAGTACTAACTAAATGTCACAAGGTGATTCAGTTCTAGATGTCATACAGTGATGTAGTACTAACTAAATGTCACAAGATGATTCAGTTCTAGATGTCATACAGTGATGTAGTACTAACTAAATGTCACAAGGTGATTCAGTTCTAGATGTCATACAGTGATGTAGTACTAACTAAATGTCACAAGGTGATTCAGTTCTAGATGTCATACAGTGATGTAGTACTATCAAAATGTCACAAGGTGATACAGTAGCCTACTCTCCTATCTATTCTATAAATGGTACTTAATCTCATTGCCCTAACATCAGCTACATCCTTACCATAGAATATAGATCTCTACATCTAAAATTCCGTATTGCTTTTACTACGCAATATATTTGTTCATAATATAGAATATCTGGGATATAAAGATGGAGTCAGCATTTCTAAAATGTGTAAAACACAATTACTACAGACTAACTCGGGGGGGGGGGGGGGGAACTTGAAATTTTGTGGGCGGAGGGGGAAGAGCGGAAATATATTTTACAACATAAATTATAGGGGGGGGGGGGGGGTGATGGGGGTACTCTAAATGAGGGGAGAGGGGGAAATGTTTAAAAGAAACCTTATCAAAACCGATTAAGGTCAACGAAAAATTCAAATCAAACGAAACAATAGCAACAGGACGTGAAATATAAATAGATAACTATTTGATTAGTCTATATAGATCTATCTAGAGTCTAGAGTAATCTAGACTATTCTAGACCTCGCCTCTATATATTATATATTAAATAATATTACTATACTTATACTATACTACAGATGGCATGTATGGCATTTAAGAATGTTTGTGATTTAACAGATCTAGGGATACACATTTATTACCAAAAAAATGATGTTACTTTTTTTGTTAAAGCTGTGATAGCAAATCTACCTATATTTTAAATTCTGCGTGTTTTTTTTTCCTATTTAACTAACACGTTTCGAACATTTAGTTTACCGGCATTGTTTACAAACCTTATCACTTGATTAGACCCCGATGTTGCTAAATGACAAGAGCACACGATCTGATGACGTTTGCAGTTGCCAGGATCGCTCAATGTTTCAAATAAATGGAGTAAAGAAGCTCAAAATCTGATGACATCATCAGCTCAATTGTGTGCAAGTGAAAACCCGCGCCCGTAATTGAAAGAAATCGGACAGCACGGTTTCAAATTTACAAGCAGGCCGTACGTAAATAATGCATTCCACTCCTAGGGAGGGTGGGGGTCGAACTTATATGATGGGGAGGGGGAGTGTGAGTACGCTTTAAGTGCAGTGTTTCTTCGAAACGGAATGTATATAGAACATATATACTTTTAACAGTGCCCCTCCCCCCCCCCCCGAGAAAAAAGTTGTTTTAGTTTTAAATAAGACATTTTAAAATTGGGATACAAAATGTTCAATAGGCTTTATACCCTGACTCCTATTTCCCAGAATAAAATACAAGGAATTTTTTCTCCTAGATCGGTTGGAAGACCTGAGCAATAGAGAACCGATGTTTTTAACTAAACCTACTTCAAAGCTTATAATCAGCTTTAAATTTGATATATAGGCTGCCCCTTATAAAAGGAAATAGCTTAGTAAAATATTAAAAGTAAAAATTAAAAAAAAAATATCCTAGTTTGGAATTGTAACATCATTTAAGGGGGAGGGGAGGAGAGGGGACTGAAGTTCTGTGACGTAATTTTTAAGTAAAGTTACAGTTTTGGACCTTACGGTTACCGTGACCTCGGCATATGGATGATATTAGGGTCTGATATACCTAGCCGCTATTCTATAATCAAGACTGTCGGGTTGAGCTTTGATCTCTTGACCTGCTAACCACGCCGGTCCACGTGACTTATGGACCAGTTTTACTAGAACCGTCAGCCTAACCCTGGCAGTTATATCGACAGCTACGGTTTCCTTTGTTCTTTTAAGATCGTGAACAAAACTAGCAGACAAATGTGACGTAACTCAACCATCACACCGTTCTCACACCAATAAGGAGAAACAATGCATTGCTTTAAACGGTTTCCAGAAAAATGCGCAAACGGAAAAATGCGCAAACGGAAAAATGCACCAACGGAAAAATGCGCGCCGGAAAAATGCGTTAACATAGAAATACACTAATTCAAATGAATTTGTATTATGCTAGTAGACTTTAACTTTGTCATACTTCGCGGAAATGTGTTTTGTTTTGCTACAATTTACACGTGGTCATTACTTTTTAATATCTATAAATGTTCGATTTAAGAAAATAAAAATCCTCTAGCGCACTTTTTGTGCGCAGTTTTCCGTTGCGCATCTTTACAGTCACCGACTTTAACCACCATCGGACATTTCTTTTCTCCAACAGGGGGGGGGGGGGGGGGATGAGAACACAGTGCTTAAATTATGTATATTTTCTATATATATATATTTAGCACATTGGGGGTGGGGGGTTGAAGGTGCTCAAGAAATGCCTAAAAGAAACACTGACCATCATCCCATCCTATATAAAACAATTTAAAAAAACTGATAAACCAACACCTAAAACCTTTGTGTATATGTTCACAATCCCTTTAAAGTGGGCCTACTGTGCAGGTGAACTTTTTGAGTTCTATACTACCAGGCATGTGAGTAGACCTAGATCTACAGCAAACAAGCTTTATCCTAGAGCAGTAGCTTAAGCAAGATTTTGTTTTTCAGGGGAGGGAGTCAAAGTTACCCTTAATTCCTTTCAAATTCACTACAGTTCAAAAATTATATTTAATAAATCCCTTATATAAATTCAATTTTAATATTATTAAGATTTTAATTAACCATTTTATAGCTCCAACTGATAAGTTCATCTGTCATTCATTGAATTATATGCTAGGTACTTTTACACAACAATCATTGTAACAAGACATTTTACACAGAAGTCATTAAGAGAAACGTGTACTTACGAGAAGAATTTTACTGGAATAAAAAAAAACAACAAAAAACATATAATCCAGTGATAAGAAAAACTGACTAGTGCATCAATTAAAAGTGAAATAATCAATTTTTATAACATTGTAACTTTCTGTTTGTATCTTAAGGTTTTATTGTTTGTTTGAAAGATAGGAACAAAAAAACTAGATTCAATCTTTCTTCTATTAAATTTCTTGAAAACCAAACAGTTGTCTGTCTGTAGTTTCATAACATCAACATACTTTTGGGTTATGCAGCATATAGAGTGTTGACTGATTTCAGCCTGCTTTTCTTTCTGGATTTGATTCCATAGCCTTTATCGAACCAAGAACGAACTACAAGGCAGCAGTTGTTTGATTTTGGTGTTGTTTATCCTGGCCAAATTAAACTATAGAGTCTAATTTGGCCAGGGGTTTGAACTTTTTGTTTAAGCAACCATAAGATTTACCGACCTGACCACACCTTCTCCACTCAAATAAACAAATTGCGTAAAACAAAATGTATCAGAAGTTTGTACGTAAAACAAAATGTATCAGAAGTTTGTACGTACATGTAGGAAACCCTCGTATATTATATTTGTCTGCCAATTCTTTTTCCACTGTGGCATCAACCACTCCAAGAGCACCAAGCTGATGAGGAAACAAAATCCTAGTCAGTGGGATAGTGGGATAGCAGCAATAAAGGGACTAGACAAGTATTTGGTACAGCTTGAGGTAACAAAATCCGAGTCAGTGGGATAGTGGGATAGCAGCAATAAAGGAACTAGACAAGTATTTGGTACAGCTTGAGGTAACAAAATCCTAGTCAGTGGGATAGTGGGATAGCAGCAATAAAGGAACTAGACAAGTATTTGGTACAGCTTGAGGTAACAAAATCCTAGTCAGTGGGATTGTGGGATAGCAGCAATAAAGGAACTAGACAAGTATTTGCTACAGCTTGAGGTAACAAAATCCTAGTCAGTGGGATAGCGGGATAGTGGGATAGCAGCAATAAAGGAACTAGACAAGTATTTGGTACAGCTTGAGGTAACAAAATCCTAGTCAGTGGGATAGCAGCAATAAAGGAACTAGACAAGTATTTGCTACAGCTTGAGGTAACAAAATCCTAGTCAGTGGGATAGCAGCAATAAAGGAACTAGACAAGTATTTGGTACAGCTTGAGGTAACAAAATCCTAGTCAGTGGGATAGTGGGATAGCAGCAATAAAGGAACTAGACAAGTATTTGCTACAGCTTGAGGTAACAAAATCCTAGTCAGTGGGATAGTGGGATAGCAGCAATAAAGGAACTAAACAAGTATTTGGTACAGCTTGAGGTAACAAAATCCTAGTCAGTGGGATAGTGGGATAGCAGCAATAAAGGAACTAGACAAGTATTTGCTACAGCTTGAGGTAACAAAATCCTAGTCAGTGGGATAGTAGGATAGCAGCAATAAAGGAACTAGACATGTATTTGGTACAGCTTGAGGTAACAAAATCCTAGTCAGTGGGATTGTGGGATAGCAGCAATAAAGGGACTAGACAAGTATTTGGTACAGTCTATTTGTACCTACTGACCACTAGCTATTAATATTATACATAAAAAACCTACTGACCCCTAGATATTAAATAAATAATTAAATAGCCAACAGACCCCTAGATATTATACATGATCTACTGACCCCTAGATATTATATAAAAAAAAGATCTACTGACCCCTAGATATTATACATAAAATTACCCACTGACCCCCAGATATTATCTATAAAATAAAATGACCTACTGACCCCTAGCTCCTGTACAGTAGCAGCAGCTTCAGCAAAATCTGGTTTCATCTTCTTGCAGTGTCCACACCCTGTGAGTGAGAGTAAAAAAAAAAAAACACCAGAGTTATCCCCCATTTCAACATGGCCGCCACCCAGCACACTACTGCCACACCGATTGTTTAGATAAAGAAACCAAAAAAAACCTTACATGGAGCATAAAACATAACCAGTACTTGAACATTGCTAGCTAGGACAGAATCAAAATTCTCAGCACTCAGAAAAACCAGACTCTGATACCCAGAAAACGGCTTCCACTGGTCTTCAAGGGACTCAGCGGTCGGAGCGGGAGGGGTGGGGGCTGGGTTCTGCGGGTCCCTCATGAATGTGATGAAATCATTTTCCTGTGTGGGTACAGACAAATGAACATGCTGTTACAAAACAAGACAGCAATGGGCCTTCAGGTTACATGATCAGGCTGTTTATCTTAGGCTTGTGGCTAATCACTCGGGCAATCCACAGATTATTTACCAATCCACAGATTATTTACCAATCCACAGATTATTTACCAATCCACACATTATTTACCAATCCACACATTATTTACCAATCCACACATTATTTACCAATCCACACATTATTTACCAATCCACACATTATTTACCAATCCACACATTATTTACCAATCCACACATTATTTACCAATCCACACATTAGTTACCAATCCACACATTAGTTACCAATCCACACATTAGTTACCAATCCACACATTAGTTACCAATCCACAGATTATTTACCAATCCACACATTATTTACCAATCCACACATTATTTACCAATCCACACATTATTTACCAATCCACACATTATTTACCAATCCACACATTATTTACCAATCCACACATTATTTACCAATCCACACATTATTTACCAATCCACACATTATTTACCAATCCACACATTATTTACCAATCCACACATTATTTACCAATCCACACATTATTTACCAATCCACACATTATTTACCAATCCACACATTAGTTACCAATCCACACATTAGTTACCAATCCACACATTATTTACCAATCCACACATTATTTACCAATCCACACATTATTTACCAATCCACACATTATTTACCAATCCACACATTATTTACCAATCCACACATTATTTACCAATCCACACATTATTTACCAATCCACACATTATTTACCAATCCACACATTATTTACCAATCCACACATTATTTACCAATCCACACATTAGTTACCAATCCACACATTATTTACCAATCCACACATTATTTACCAATCCACACATTATTTACCAATCCACACATTATTTACCAATACACACATTATTTACCAATCCACACATTATTTACCAATCCACACATTAGTTACCAATCCACACATTATTTACCAATCCACACATTATTTACCAATCCACACATTATTTACCAATCCACACATTATTTACCAATCCACACATTATTTACCAATCCACACATTATTTACCAATCCACACATTATTTACCAATCCACACATTATTTACCAATCCACACATTATTTACCAATCCACACATTATTTACCAATACACACATTAGTTACCAATCCACACATTATTTACCAATCCACACATTATTTACCAATCCACACATTATTTACCAATCCACACATTAGTTACCAATCCACACATTAGTTACCAATCCACACATTATTTACCAATCCACACATTATTTACCAAGCAATTTTTATCAACTTTATTTATCTGCTAAGCTACTTTAAGAAAAATCAATAACAGTTTAAATGTACAATATTAATGCTGCTCTACTGCATTAAACAGCTCTAATTAGTCTACAGGTCAACACAACATTGAGCTGAACAAATTATTTAGAAGTAGCCAGTATGACAACACTGTACAACTCAATTTTTTTTCTCAAGTTCAAAGTACAACAATTTGCCTTTCTGTATAAGATGTACACCAAACCTTCCTTCCCTCCCTTAAAATCTCCTTCCCTCCCTCCCAATATGAAGTACAACAACTGGCCCTCCATAAAAAGAGTACAAAAAAACCTTCCTCCTATATTAAAACTACAACAACCAGCCCTCCCATTAAAAAGTACAAGAAACTTCCCTCTCATAAAAGTACAACACTTTACAATATCCCATTTATAAAGTACAACAAACCTCCCCCCCCCCCTCGCATATAGAATGTACAACAACCTCCCCCTCCCATATATAAAGTACAACAACCCCCCTCCCATATATAAAGTACAACAAACCACCCCTCCTCCCATATAAAAGTACAACAAATCTCCCCCCTCCCATATAAAGATTACAACACATCTCCCCCTCCCATATATAAAGTACAACAAACCTCCCCCTCCCATATATAATGTAAACAAACCTCCCCCTCTCATATATAAAGTACAAAAAACCTACACCCTCCCATATTTAAAATACAACCAACCTCTCTTCCTCCCATGTACTTCTGAGAGTTTTTGCCGTAGTTGAAGTACTTGAATGTTGGATATCCTTTCACATCATGAGTGCTGCATGTACCAGTTTGAACTGTACAATCAACTGCTGCGAAAGCCACCTAAAACACAAGTCAACTTCTTTGTTATATCACCACATAGCACATACATCACTTGTGTTATCAGAAACTAAATGTTCAGCTCTCATACTGTGAGAGGTCAGTTTAAAATGTGGTAAAATAAAAATTGTCTGGTATATTGTCAGAGTAGCATTTTTAGCTATTCCAGGTAATAGATAAATGTTTACCTTTGGCTCTAGGCAAAAGTTTTCCTTTGGAGCTAGGCAAAAATTTTCCTTTGGCTCTAGGCAAAAGATTACCTTTAGCTCTAGGTAAAAGTTTACCTTTGGCTGTAGGTAAAAGTTTACCTTTGGCTGTAGGCAAAAGATTACCTTAGGCTATAAGCAAAAGATTACCTTTGGCTGTAGGTAAAAGTTTGCTTTTATCTCTAGGAAAAAGTTTACCTATGGCTCTAGGCAAAAGTTTACCTTTGGCTCTAGGCAAAAGTTTACCTTTGGCTTTAGGCAAAAGATTACCTTTGGCTGTAGCTTACCTTTGGGTCATCTTTGAATTTCTCAGCTGCTGCCATAAACTCTGGCTTGGCTTTCTTACAGTGACCACACCCTGTAGCAGATAGTGGAGAGAGGGTAGGGAGGTGATGGTAGGGAGGTGGTGGTAGGGAGGTGGTGGTAGGGAGGTGGTGGCAGGGAGGTGGTGATAGGGAGGTGGTGGTAGGGAGATGGTTGTAGGGAGATATTAAGTGAGTTGGTGGTAGGGGTATATTAGGTGAGTTGGTGGTAGGGAGATATTAGGTGAGTTGGTGGTAGGGAGATGGATGTAGGGAGATATTAAGTGAGTTGGTGGTAGGGAGATATTAGGTGAGTTGGTGGTAGGGAGATATTAAGTGAGTTGGTGGTAGGGAGATATTAGGTGAGTTGGTGGTAGGGAGATATTCGGTGAGTTGGTGGTAGGGAGATGTGAGTTGGTGGTAGGGAGATATTAGGTGAGTTGGTGGTAGGGAGATATTATGTGAGTTAGTGGTAGGGAGATATTCGGTAAGTTGGTGGTAGGGAGATGTGAGTTGGTGGTAGGGAGATGTTAGGTGAGTTGGTGGTAGGAAGATATTATGTGAGTTAGTGGTAGGGAGATATTATGTGAGTTAGTGGTAGGGAGATGTGAGTTGGTGGTAGGGAGATATTAGGTGAGTTGGTGGTAGGGAGATATTAGGTGAGTTGGTGGTAGGGAGATATTAGGTGAGTTGGTGGTAGGGAGATATTAGGTGAGTTGGTGGTAGGGAGATATTAGGTGAGTTGGTGGTAGGGAGATATTAGGTGAGTTGGTGGTATGGAGATATTAGGTGAGTTGGTGGTAGGGAGATGTTAGGTGAGTTGGTGGTAGGGAGATGTTAGGTGAGTTGGTGGTAGGGAGATATTAGGTGAGTTGGTGGTGGGAAGATATTAGGTGAGTTGGTGGTAGGGAGATATTATGTGAGTTAGTGGTAGGGAGATATTCGGTGAGTTGGTGGTAGGGAGATGTGAGTTGGTGGTAGGAAGATATTAGGTGAGTTGGTGGTAGGGAGATATTATGTGAGTTAGTGGTAGGGAGATATTCGGTGAGTTGGTGGTAGGGAGATGTGAGTTGGTGGTAGGGAGATGTTAGGTGAGTTGGTGGTAGGGAGATATTAGGTGAGTTGGTGGTAGGGAGATGTGAGTTGGTGTTAGGGAGATATTAGATGAGTTGGTGGTAGGGAGATATTAGGTGAGTTGGTGGTAGGGAGATATTAGGTGAGTTGGTGGTAGGGAGATATTAGGTGAGTTGGTGGTAGGGAGATGTGAGGTAGGGAGATGTGAGTTGGTGGTAGGGAGATATTAGGTGAGTTGGTGGTAGGGAGATGGATGTAGGGAGATATTAAGTGAGTTGGTGGTAGGGAGATGGATGTAGGGAGATATTAAGTGAGTTGGTGGTAGGGAGATATTAGGTGAGTTGGTGGTAGGGAGATATTAAGTGAGTTGGTGGTAGGGAGAAATTAGGTGAGTTGGTGGTAGGGAGATATTAGGTGAGTTGGTGGTAGGGAGATGTGAGGTGAGTTGGTGGTAGGGAGATATTATGTGAGTTGGTGGTAGGGAGATATTAGGTGAGTTGGTGGTAGGGAGATGTGAGTTGGTGGTAGGGAGATGTGAGTTGGTGGTAGGGAGATATTAGGTGAGTTGGTGGTAGGGAGATATTAGGTGAGTTGGTGGTAGAGAGATGTGAGTTGGTGGTAGGGAGATGTGAGTTGGTGGTAGGGAGATATTAGGTGAGTTGGTGGTAGGGAGATATTAGGTGAGTTGGTGGTAGGGAGATATTAGATGAGTTGGTGGTAGGGAGATATTAGGTGAGTTGGTGGTAGGGAGATATTAGGTGAGTTGGTGGTAGGGAGATATTAGGTGAGTTGGTGGTAGGGAGATATTAGGTGAGTTGGTGGTAGGGAGATATTAGGTGAGTTGGTGGTAGGGAGATATTAGGTGAGTTGGTGGTATGGAGATATTAGGTGAGTTGGTGGTAGGGAGATGTTAGGTGAGTTGGTGGTAGGGAGATATTAGGTGAGTTGGTGGTAGGGAGATATTAGGTTGATAAACTAACAGATTAATTACCAAATGCAACTTCACAATACTTTGGACTAAGTGAGCTTTGTGTTTAAAATAAATAACAAACTGTCAAGTATATATATCTGACAACTGCAACTTACATGGGGCATAAAACATAATCAGGCAGTGTTTCTTTTTCTTGAGGAAGTTTTTAAATGTGTCGTCTGTTAGATGAACCACCTCGCTCTCAATCTCCTCCCATTTTGATTCAGGTGGGGGAGGAGGGGGAGGCTCCTTAGGGCTGTGAAAACAAAATATTGTTGTGTGCATAGTAGACCTAGGCAGGGGACTACAGGGAGTAATGGTACCACCACACATGGAGACCAGTCAACATGTCTTAGACACAACTCCAGGGGTGCCACTCATTTTCTAAGTGAATCCTGAAAATGAATCCCAAAATTTTACCAATCCTGAAACTAAAATTTGAAATTTTTGAAACCCTGAAACTTAATTTCGCGCGGAATTTCAAAATAAAATGGACTATTATTTCATTATTTTTTGAGACATTTGATTCATATTAAGTTCAATTTACATTCCTTTAAAATGGATTTATTTTCTTTGTAACAAGCTTGAAATAAAAATTAATCTTTAAAGGATTGTGCTTACAACAAAATTAGTTTACAATGTTAGTCCCACCCATCTCTAGGCCTACCCCATAATGTGCTATTGTAGAACCCCCCCCCCCCCCTCCCAGCCAGCTTTTATAACATTACTGTATTTAATTTTTGAGAACTTCCTAGCTTGATTTAAAGTGTGTAGTCAGCCAATTGCTAACCTCTATGTCTTGTTATTGAATAATAAGCGCACTATATGCAGACCCCTAATAAGATTGTCACTGTATTAAAATACAGGGTTGACTTACTGTAGCTATTCAAGGCTTTAATTATTAACAGCCACAACAAAAACCTAAAACCCTGTTTTCCCAATCAACCACCAATGGGGTCATCCATAAATGATCTCACGCTTTTTTGACGATTTTTACCTCCCACCTCCCCTCGGTCACATATCTGTCACAAAAAGCCAGACCCCGCCCTCTAAAATGACGTCACACCTCAGCCTACACCCCCCCCCCCCCACCCCTAAAAATTGCAGTCGAATTTTTCTTAAAATACGATATTTTCCAAAAATCTTGTCTGACCTCTGTCAACATAGAGTATTTCAATCAATTCCTATTACACTTTATTGAAACAATATTCTAAAACGCGAAATAACGGCTAAAATTCGTTTTCTAACATAGCTTTTGGATAATGCAAAAGTGTGATGTCACACCATCTGAACCTCTCCCCCTCATGACAAAATTACGAACCCCCCTCCCCTTACGAGTGTGACGTCATTTATGAACGACCCCAACGCCCCCACTATTGATATACATGATGACGTGAAGAAATATCGTGGAAGTTTTAAGTCCATATCGCGGAATAACAGAATTAAGTTAATTTTAAAAATAATTTTAGAAGTAACTACGCTAGTAATACTCATGTCAGAGATGTAGCCGCCCGACTAAGTGAAAAGCTGATTTTTTTTTACAAGCGGTTGGGAGGGGGCAGTGATAGCGGCTATTTTCTCAGACACGGTACTTCAAGGTTTTTTAAACATTTCAATGACGTTTTACCAAAGTAAAAAAAAACAATTAGATGTAGACCCTGCTAGATTGTGTAACTAAATTATAGCAGGCCTACATATTTTGTTTAATGATATAAAACGATGCAGTTCTAGTTTTTTTTCTCTTGAATCTAGAAGAAGTCCCTTATTAAAAAAATAACCACGTTAAAATTAAACAGCGCTTGTACTTGTAGAACTGCCTTGACCGAGAGACACGACTCAAGACTGTGTTTGCGTGGTCTCGTGACGTAGGTCTTACGGTCAGCGCGACCTTGAAGAAGCGGGTAAGAGGTGGTAAAAATACATAAAATAGTCCTTCAAATAGTTTTTTTCTTTTCTTTTGGTAATACCAAATACAAAAAAAAAAAATTTTTTTTTTTTATCGGAGCAAAATCTTTCGGTTTTTTTTTGTTTTTTTAAAGACCATCGGCGATGCTAGTGAGCTTGATCTAGTACTTGTAGGCTTTAGTTGTTTTTAATTACACAGCCTAGCGGTATCCCATTGATGACATCACGTAAATAATGCGAGTTTTACCCCCAACCCATATCGTCATAAATAGCCAGACAACCACACCACGAATGACATCAAAAAGTTTCGTCTACAGCCTCACCCATCTGATACAGCCGATTTGTATTTGGTCCTTGGCGCACGCTGAGATTGTTGCTGACGTCATTTACTATTCATTTTTTTCGGAAAAGGCCATTAGCGGGAGTGTTGACGATAAAAACGATTTTTACAATGCCAAAATTTTCAAGCTTAAAACGATCTAAATTTTTTTAAAAATGCAAACCCGGAAATTTTCAAACTCAAATCTTGCGAATCCGGAAAGGGAAAAAAATATGATTCTCGAATCCGGAAATCCGGGATATCCCGGAAAAGTGGCACCCCTGCAACTCTATCAACAAGTGGAACTAGTGTTAACTGGCAACTTACTCTTTCATAAAATCAATAATTTTGTCTTTGTCTCTTTCATTCACCTCAAATGCAAATTCACCATTCCTAGACAGTAAAAAAATATGTATTAAAATATGAGTAGGTGAAACAAAAAAAATGTTTGCAACTTTGCAAGGAATACAATAAACAGCAATATATAATATGGATATTACATAAAATTACTTTTCTTAGTTAACTAATTAAGTCCAATTTTTTTTTACAAATCTATAGGATGAAACATCCATTTAACTGAATGTCTCCCACAATTAAACATCTTGTTTTAAATGTTTCCAACAGATAAACATCATGTTTTAACCGATGTTATAATTATCAGATAATGAGGTATAGGGGATACAACATCATCAGCAGGAAGAGGTTAGATCACCATGTGATGTTAATGTGGTAGGGAGATATCCCTATATGGGCTCCCAAGCCACAAAAGGGAAAGTTTAAAGGCAACACAACTGTAGTAATATAAATCAATATTCAATTCTCAATTTCAAATATAGACACAAGAGTCTATCAAGCTAAAAACAAAATGTCAATTATTTAATTAAAAAATAAAAACAAGTAACACTTACCTAAAGTAGCGCACTGTTTAGTACATGTAAAAAAAAAAAAAAGAAAAATATTAAACTGTCAAGCTTATCACCTCATTAAATATTTTTAAAATTTAATTAAGTACAATGCTTATATTAAGTCTGTTTAGTATTTTAATAAAAATAAGATTTCAAAAAATATTAGAAAATGAAATACAAAATAAAAAAGCAATGCTGATAAGAAAGTAAAGTGCAATTGAATATTTCAATAAAAAAACTATACAATACCACATATATTTATTCATATATATATGACAGAGAAATAACAAAAGGGTAGTGCTTATTGCGGTCAACAGCTGATGAAGAAATAAACAGTGTGCTTGCCTCAGTCTAAGGGCTGGTGAGGATATAAACACTGTGCTTATATCCTCTCACAGTAGGTGCCAATCACAGATGCTTATTTTATTGCTCCAATTAAAATTCTTAATATTTGCTCTGATAAAAAAAAATTGTTTTCTTTGACTATCCCCAGGTGTAACTCTAAACAAAACCTTAAACATAATCTTAAACCCTAATCCTAATTTAGATTATAAAAATTGTATTACTTATGTCATTTACACTATTAACAGAAAAAAAAAACCTATAATTCTATGTGGTTTTGAACCACAAACCTTCTTGATAGCTGCTGTACTCTATATACTGCCATGCTAACAATTTAAAATACTTAAAATATACTACTATCGAGACCAATCAAACTTCCATTCAAAAATTCTAAAAATATGTTTGCTTATAAATAAAATCTAAATATAGATCATAGTTGACCAATTTAAGTATGTTGTTTATTTCATCACCTGTTGACCCAAATAATCATTTCCATAACAAAGATATTGATCTGGGTTTAAAATAGCCAAAGGCACCTAAAGCCCCATGGGATATAAAAGCTGAAAAACAAGTGTTTAAAAATTCTTTCACTCAAACTTCACAGGTGATACAATTGTAGAGGTTGTTCAGTGATGAATGTTAACCAGATGTTAGTCAATGTTGCAGAAAAAAAGCATTTCAACAATTAAAAAATGTGGACCAAAACAAAAAAAAAATAAATCAACCCAGGTGTTAGACTGAAGCAAGAAACTGTTTACAAGCAATAAATTATCTCCCCTTTGGACCTTACTTCAACTATCCAGCTTTTCATAAAGCCCCTGAAACATGTATTTATGTGAAATCATTGTGAACAATTAATCAGTTAACTGAGAGCATTGTGAACAATTTATCAGTTAATTGTCATCGTTGTAAACAATTTATCAGTTAAATGAAATTATTGTAAACAATTTATCAGTTAACTGAAAACATTGTGAACAATTTATCAGTTAACTGTCATCATTGTGAACTATGTATCATAATTGTGAACAGTTTATTTATTTATTGACATTATTGTGAACATTCTCAATATAACCAAGCTCTCAAATACACCCGCCTTTTTCAAACCAGTGTCTGACAATGGACTCTTCCAAAAAAGGGTGTGTTAGGTTGTCAGACAAAAATATTAACCTCTGTTACTAGCAGCTCTAACTCTAGTGCTAAATCTGTGTAAATAGCTAGCCTGCTGTATATATTTTGATTTTGCAAAAAGAAAATTGAAAAACAACACTACACTGTTAATTTGATTTTTAAAATTGTAAAAGAATACCAAGAAACATTGAGTACAACAAAAAGTTCTTGTATGGCTACAAGCTTACCGTCCCTGCACTAACACTAAACTTAAAACTTGACAGAACACTCAACAACCCCCATTTACTGGAAGAATCAGGAGTCTGACAATGGTGGGAAAAATATTTTAAATGGTTATTACAAGCTTTAAAACACAACACATACATTTCATAACAGTAAATAGAATTTTAAACATACTGTTATTTCAACATTCCAATAAATACAGAGAAACAGCTACAATAAATGAGAACAGTACAGCTAATTAGGATCAGAGAACAGTACAGCTAATTAAGACCAGAGAACAGTACAGCTAATTAGGATCAGAGAACAGTACAGCTAATTAGGACTGAGAACAGAACAGCTAATTAGGACCACAGAATAGTACAGCTAATTAGGATGAAAGAACAGTACAGCTAATTAGGACCAAAGAAGAGTACAGCTAAACAAGGACACTAGAGCTACGACAAAGAGACAATGAATTATTACTCAGACCAGTCTACTCTAGAACTAAAAAGCCTTCTGGTCAGTACATACGATTGTACCAGAATGGATCATAACTAAGGCAATGTGATTTCTGACTCATCCCAGGATTCGCTGACCTCCCCATTTAGACACACAACAACCATAAACTCTGTACTGTACAATCAAAGAATACACAGATATCAATGATATCTATCTAAACGAGGAAGCTTACTTACTTAATAAGAAGTAACAAGCAACAAGAAAATGGATGTAACACTGTTTACACTGGTAGCATGTATACTAAACATGTCTAAAAAAAAAACTTGCAGCAAGTAAGTATACATGTTCAAAGAGAAAAATGTTTTCATATAACAAACTTGTTGCAAGTTTTTTTTTCCTAGACAGACACCTACAATATACATGTAGCAAGTGTAAACGTAGGTAAGAGAGGGTTGTTGACAAATACAAAGATCCATTTCACAGACCTTCCATGACCAATAAAAACCAGAACAAAAAATACAAAAATGTTTCTAAAATATGCAATGTTAACCTTAACAAAACTATGGGGTTCACATAAAACGTTAATTTTGTTTTAGAAAATAAATTTTAAAAACTTGTTTCTTAAAATAAACCAATTTTTTTTTTAAATTTTAAACTCACACCCAATCTCCTCAATCATATTATTTACAATATGAATAAAAATACACACAAAGCTGTTAGTGCACCTAGGAGGGTATGAAAAAAGTTGTTTACCAGTGGGGAAGCCTTTGACATTATTTTCTTGAGCCAGTTTCTTTTCTTTTGTTGCATCTACTGCAGCTAACACACCAGTGATCTGAGGGGAAATAATCACAAATGACAAATCAAACAAGGGGGACAACCTAATAGAGTGATCTGATGGGGAAATAAACACAGATGATTAACTACTAGAGTGATATGAGAGAAAATAATCAGATGACAAAAAAACTGAGGGGGGTACAACCTACTAGTGACATGGCAGGGAAATAAATACAGATAACTACCCTGACATGGGAAGCAACCTACCACATAAATTATTATAAATGAGATAAACAAATGACTAGCCTAGGGAGACATCCGATCATTGTAGTAGAAAAAAAAAAACACAGATGACTAACCAAAGAAGACACCCTACTACAATCATCTGACAAAAGAAATGTCATAACCCTGAAAAAAAACATCAAAACTAACCCCTTCATCCTTCAAATACTGAGCAGCCTCTGTATATCCAGGTTTCATATGTTTGCAATGGCCACACCCTTTTGATGGAAAAACAACAGAATTCTACTGGTACATCTCAAATTCAAAAATACAATTAAGAAAAAAGAAGAAATTCAAAATATTCCTAGTGTCTAAGGGACCAGTACCTGTCAATTTATACATGGTACTTCTAAGTACCTGTCAATTTATACAAGGTACTTCTAAGTACCTGTCAATATATACAAGGCACTTCTAAGTACCTGTCAATTTATACATGGTACTTCTAAGTACCTGTCAATTTATACATGGTACTTCTAAGTACCTGTCAATTTATACATGGTACTTCTAAGTACCTGTCAAACTATCCAAGGTACTTCTAAAGTTTACTTACATGGAGCATAAAACATGACCAACACCGATGGGTTCTGCTTGACAAAGTCTGAAAAGCTCTCATCCGTCAAGTGTACCACTTCACTCGGCTCATCTGACCACTCAGCCTCTTTTTCTTTCTCTTTAGGTTCTTGGGGACTGGACGACAGAAATCATGCAAATATCAATCATGAGATGTGTGATCCTGACAATACATGCTTAGATTTTTTAGGTTCTTGGGGGCTGGACGACAGAAGTCATGCAAATATCAATCATGAGATGTGTGATCTAGACAATACATGCTTAGATTTTTTAGGTTCTTGGGGGCTGGACGACAGAAATCATGCAAATATCAATCATGAGATGTGTGATCCTGACAATACATGCTTAGATTTTTTAGGTTCTTGGGGGCTGGACGACAGAAGTCATGCAAATATCAATCATGAGATGTGTGATCTAGACAATACATGCTTAGATTTTTTAGGTTCTTGGGGGCTGGACGACAGAAATCATGCAAATATCAATCATGAGATGTGTGATCCTGACAATACATGCTTAGATTTTTTAGGTTCTTGGGGACTGGACGACAGAAATCATGCAAATATCAATCATGAGATGTGTGATCCTGACAATACATGCTTAGATTTTTTAGATTCTTGGGGGCTGGACGACAGAAATCATGCAAATATCAATCATGAGATGTGTGATCCTGACAATACATGCTTAGATTTTTTAGGTTCTTGGGGACTGGACGACAGAAATCATGCAAATATCAATCATGAGATGTGTGATCCTGACAATACATGCTTAGATTTTTTAGGTTCTTGGGGACTGGACGACAGAAATCATGCAAATATCAATCATGAGATGTGTGATCCTGACAATACATGCTTAGATTTTTTAGGTTCTTGGGGACTGGACGACAGAAATCATGCAAATATCAATCATGAGATGTGTGATCCTGACAATACATGCTTAGATTTTTTAGGTTCTTGGGGACTGGACGACAGAAATCATGCAAATATCAATCATGAGATGTGTGATCCTGACAATACATGCTTAGATTTTTTAGATTCTTGGGGGCTGGACGACAGAAATCATGCAAATATCAATCTAGGTTCTTGGGGACTGGACGACAGAAGTCATGCAAATATCAATCATGAGATGTGTGATCTAGACAATACATGCTTAGATTTTTTAGGTTCTTGGGGACTGGACGACAGAAATCATGCAAATATCAATCATGAGATGTGTGATCTAGACAATACATGCTTAGATTTTTTAGGTTCTTGGGGGCTGGACGACAGAAGTCATGCAAATATCAATCATGAGATGTGTGATCTAGACAATACATGCTTAGATTTTTTAGATTCTTGGGGGCTGGACGACAGAAATCATGCAAATATCAATCATGAGATGTGTGATCTAGACAATACATGGTTAGATTTTTTAGGTTCTTGGGGACTGGACGACAGAAATCATGCAAATATCAATCATGAGATGTGTGATCTAGACAATACATGCTTAGATTTTTTAGATTCTTGGGGGCTGGACGACAGAAATCATGCAAATATCAATCATGAGATGTGTGATCTAGACAATACATGCTTAGATTTTTTAGATTCTTGGGGACTGGATGACAGAAATCATGCAAATATCAATCATGAGATGTGTGATCTAGACAATACATGCTAAGATTTTTTAGATTCTTGGGGGCTGGACGACAGAAATCATGCAAATATCAATCATGAGATGTGTGATCTAGACAATACATGCTTAGATTTTTTAGATTCTTGGGGGCTGGACGACAGAAATCATGCAAATATCAATCATGAGATGTGTGATCTAGACAATACATGGTTAGATTTTTTAGGTTCTTGGGGACTGGACGACAGAAATCATGCAAATATCAATCATGAGATGTGTGATCTAGACAATACATGCTTAGATTTTTTAGATTCTTGGGGGCTGGACGACAGAAATCATGCAAATATCAATCATGAGATGTGTGATCTAGACAATACATGCTAAGATTTTTTAGATTCTTGGGGGCTGGACGACAGAAATCATGCAAATATCAATCATGAGATGTGTGATCTAGACAATACATGCTTAGATTTTTTAGATTCTTGGGGGCTGGACGACAGAAATCATGCAAATATCAATCATGAGATGTGTGATCTAGACAATACATGCTAAGATTTTTTAGATTCTTGGGGGCTGGACGACAGAAATCATGCAAATATCAATCATGAGTTGTGTGATCTAGACAATACATGCTTAGATTTTTTAGATTCTTGGGGGCTGGACGACAGAAATCATGCAAATATCAATCATGAGATGTGTGATCTAGACAATACATGCTAAGATTTTTTAGATTCTTGGGGGCTGGACGACAGAAATCATGCAAATATCAATCATGAGATGTGTGATCTAGACAATACATGCTTAGATTTTTTTTAGATTCTTGGTGAGGTCTTTTAAATCTATGAACAAAGATGTTTAAAAATTGCTTTTAAAAGATACAAATAGCAGGTTGGATTTCAAGTGAAGTAAAATCTTGCTGCACATAGCATAAGTATGAAATCACCCTATAGTATAAATTTAAAATTAAAAAATTTAGCTTACTTTTGTAGCCAGGATATGATACCAGCTTTATTGTTTTCACCTCCATATTTGAACTTGACCTGGCCTTTACTAAACAAATAAAACAGCAGTATAAAACAATATGGCAGATACTACTAAAAATGATAAACATCAGGCTATTTTAACAATGACAATAATAACAGGAATAACTATACAAGAGAGGGTGCTTGATATATTTAAGATTTGACGCACAAAATAATACGTAGGTAAACAGTGTGTCTGATATAGTGAGGGTAGGACTTACACAAAATAACACAAGGTAGGTAAACAGTTGGGGGTTAGACTTACACAAAATAATACAAGGTGGGGAAGCCTGTGATGTTGTACTGCATCCTTAAAGGCATCATCGGTGGTTTGTCAACATCTATGCCAACCAAAGTCTGGGAAAGATTCATTTGTACAATTGGCTTGATAATCAGGACATGAACGCAGCATTAATTGACAAAAAGGTAAACTATGCATGACATTTAATACACTAAACTAAAAAGTAAAATACAAATGACGAGCCCTTGTTCTAATTGAAACTAAAAAAAAATAAAAATAAACATTTTTATATCCATTGTTTTTTTTTAAATCAAAGAATGTAATCTAAAACTGCTATTAGGTTTCAGACTATCAATCTTAGCACCCAGCAACTTCTCTTCTTTTACTAATGTGAAACAGGAAGCAGAGTTTATGGGTTAACACATTTTAGCTAGAGTTGTCTCCCTTGTACTGTAGCTCTTAGACTTCATCATGACATAGATCTATACAAGAGAGAATTTTAAAAAAGTGTCTTGAGTTAAGACAGGCTGACCAAGACTTACAGCTTGAGACCTCATCTCTGTAGCAGCTGCAGCAAAGTCAGGTTTTAATCTCTTGCAAAACCCACACCCTGAGGGGAGGAGAGAAAAATAAATTCAATATAACACCTGTTGACAAGCTCAACCATGATTTTAGGTCATTGATTTTACACAGATTGAGTTTGGACTTCAACATATAGTTTAAGGAACATTGCCAAATATTTTAGTTTTGAATATAAAAACACAGGCTCAATGATAAAGAAATGTATCAATTTTTTTCCTTAAAGCCAGAAACGGCAATTAAGAGCATGGTTAGGTTTAGAGATACAACAAAAAAATAAGCTTAAAGTATTACTAAGTACAAATAATTCTTTTAGAATTTTCCCATGCATTAAGAAAGCTAATAAATAATAACCATCTATTTCTTTTACACTTAATTCATTTTAGATACTTTAACAAAAAAATCGTTTTTTTCTAAATATAAAAATACTTTACTTACAAGGTGCGTAAAACATAACTAATAATGGAGTTTTCTCTTTTTTTAATAACTTGGTGAAACTCTGAAAAAAAAAACAAGTTTAAAATAATTTTTTTATTTGGTTGCTTAAACTTTTAAAAACTGTGTAAACAGAAACACGCTACATGTTTTCAATGTGTGCTTACTTTTATGTAAAGAGTAAATAAAAAATACACATGATGGACACTAGACCAGGTGAAGTAGAGTATTTATTTAGCTGCATACAAAAGGAATGTATAATTAGGAATAGTAAGTAAAAAAGTACAGTTCCTCAAACCTGGCGGTCTATAGGGCAAGTGAAGTAGAGTTCACTTGTTTCTGTGACCTCGGCATATGAAGAGATAGTGTGGTCAGCACTATGCCCAGCCGCCTTTACTTTCCCTAACGCGAGTTAGGTACCCATCAGAGCTGGGTGGACTCAGGGCTCTCTACTGCTAGACTACTCTGTCCCAAATAATTAGGACTATGAACATTAATTTTACTTTTTTTGGCTCTACGTAAGAGATGGGTGGACTAGCTGACCTCCTACTGAATCAAGAAACTATACAAGAATATAGCTAGAGGTTAAGACCTGACAAGTTGTCCCTTGTGAAAGAAGATTAACTAACTACTTTAGTGCACATGTAACAATACATACTTCTTCTGAAGATATATGCACAACATCTACAGCTGTTGGGTCTTCCTCCCAAGGCAAATCTCCTGTTGGATCAAGTAAAAAGTTGACCATGGACTGAAAAACAAAACAAATTGACATTCACTTTTTAAAACAAGCTAACACATTCAGATTAAACAATTGGCTGTCACAGCTATATCAAATAAGTAGCTAACTCTTGTAGCTAAAACATGTAGTTAACACCTCGCAGATAAACATGAAGAGTTTTCACTGACCTTCACAGCTAGTTTCCTATCATAGTCTTTGTTGAATTCACCATCTCTACAATACAAAAGCAAAACATGCATTAATTAATTATTATTCCTTTTCCTAAATTTGAAATAATTATCAAGGAATAATTATCAATACAAAGTTAGCATTGTTTAGAAATACATAAATATATCAATTTTTTGTTTTTAATTTCTATAAAAGTTTTTTTTACAATGTATGATATTGCAATGTAGAAGTCTATGTATTGTAAAAATTCTGCACGGTGAACCATCATCTTTTGACCCAAGACACATGGAGCAGATGAAGTATAGTTCATCTGCTTCTGAGACCTCTGCACATGAAGGGATGGTGTGATCAACACTTTGCCCAGCAGCCTATGTTTTCCTTAACATGAGTTAGGTACCCATCAGAGCTGGGTGGATTAAGGGCAGTCTACTGACTTAAACCCATATTCGAACTCAAGACTTTTGGGTTAGTAGACCAGCAACCTACTGCTAGGCCACACAGTGATTACTTACTTGTAATGGCGAAGCTCATACTCCACTGGCGAGACTTTAAGCTGTTTACACATTTTTTTGTCATCACTGGGAAAAGTAAAAAAAAACTGAACATTTAAAAACTGGCACATGGAAGTAGACTGATAAATTAAAAATCAGGAATGTTTTATTTACAAGATAACAAAACAAACCAACCTGCAGTTAATATAAGCAAGAGTTGCTTTTCCTTTCATTTCTTCTGCGACCTCCTCAAACAGGTGCATAACCTTTGCTGTAGCTTTCTCTAAAAAAAAAATAAGACAGCATTGTAAGAATACCATTTTATACATTCTTAAAATGCAATTTTAAGAATTTTTTTAGTACAGCCAATACAAAATATGAAAAAAAACAAGAATGAAATGA